AGGCAAGTTCAGTAATAAACACAGATAATTGATATTTGATTTTGTTGTTTAGATTATTTTCTTTATTGGTTGCTCCGTCGGTCTTCTTCGACGGCAATCTTGATCGTATATAATGGATTGACACTTTGTTTTTATGACCAGCCCAGATACACAGTATACTCTCTACTCCTTATTCCAGCCTCACAAAAAAACAAAACGAAACCCCTTCAAAGCATGATATCTTCGCAAACTGTGAGGTTAAATAATCATGTGATACGGATGCCTTCAGCGAACTGTGAAAAAGGTAAATTTCCATGACCTTCCACATTATCTCATACAACAAAACACCAATTGTCAGTAGTTGTTCAATGGCTGGGCTCTACCGGACGCCATCTGCCCCGCAAATTGTTTGTTAATTGATGGCCCTTTCTAATCGAAGCGAACAGATCATTGAAGGCATCACTTCTAAGTTCTGGTAGTTCGGGAAAGACGAGTTTAAAAAGTGTGCGAATATTTACGCATTGTTTAGATCTTCTCATGATTAATTAAATCTTGTAATATTCAGCTAGAAAAAGCTAGTCATAACTTGAAAGTTTAATTGCATGGAGCAACTAGTTGAGAGAACTGAACTATAGTAATGAACAGGCAATTATAGTGATGGCAGGGAGAGTGGGGTGTAGATTCGATGAAATGAACAATCTGCTTAGCAGAGGTTTGAAGTAAACAAGTTGTTAGTAGCTACTCGTTTTGCACACTAGAATTTACTTTACCAGCCCCCTCATTTTCCTAGCAAAAAGATTCAATTTTTGGACTTCCCAGCCGCATTCTTGACCAGGGCAGCAGCTGGCCACGATTTTGTGTTATTGTTTATCTGAGTTTATCTGTGTATTTTACCAATTTGACTCTTTTACCAAAACAGATTAGTCTCTCTGCTCGTGCAATTTACCCTTTTCCCTTGGGCAATGAAATAACAAATTTTTTCCCAGAATAGTAAAAGATAGGAGCAAGAGTAGTCAATAAACTACAGTCCAGTGCCATTTTTCGGGTGGTAGATTGACGGTGATCAATTGGCCCGCTTATGGCAAGGTAGGGACCAGTCTTTCCGGTTTCATTAAGAATCGTGTTAGTGCTGATTGGACGAGGGCGTGAACTAGAAAGCTCGTGACTAAAGTCAACACCAAGTCACGTGGGGTAACATGTGAGCACGTGAGCGACGCGTAGGTAAACAATGCCGCCCGCAACTTAGAAATCACCAGAAGACTTGAAATTCAAAATGTCCGCTGAAATTGACAAGCTACGGCACCTTCTTGCAGAAGAGCAAAGACTTCGTGAAGAAGAGCAGCGCCTCCGGAGAGAGGATAGGGAGAATCTCGCAGAGGAACAACGTCTTCGGCAAGAGGAACAACTTCTTCGGCAAGAGGAACAACGTCTTCGGCAAGAGGAACAACGTCTTCGGCAAGAGGAACAACGTCTTCGAAGGGAGGACCAGGAGAAGACATCTAAAACCAGCCTTCCCACATTTCTCGACGGTCTCCATAATCACCTGTTTCTTGGTCTTGAAGTTCAGCAGGATAAGACTCAATCCACGCGTGGAGATCCCGCAAATGCGACCAACAAACTTCGCCCCAGAAAACTTAAAGCCTGGGACTCCTTCGCGAAGGAACAAGAGGAGATTTGGCGATTGCTGATGGATTCTTCGCTTGTCGAAAAAAAAATGTTTACTTCTCTCCACACTTTGAAAGAAACAGGAGAGAGCATTCGGCGGCAGTTTGTTGGCTCGGAACTTGACCTTAACCATTTTCTTCGCCAAACCGTTGAGGACCACGTCTCGAAAATAATCGAAGAACTCTACAGTGATCCAGCACTGCGACAAACGTTTGGGTTGAGAGGGTCGATACGATTTGAGAATCATTCTAATACTTTGAGCCCCGAGTGGGAACTCGAGGAGGGAATGCAGAGTATTGATCTTCGTGGTCGGCCACGACGGCGTTCCCCGCGTTTGGCTGCCCGGGAACAAAGTGCATCGAGCACCGCAGCGACGCGTGGCCCGCGAACTCCACCTCCAGCGCGAAACAACAGGCCTCGTGCCGATCAGTTCTGCGTGTACAACATTCCCAGTCAATCGTCCGAGTCGATCCATCGCGTTGCAGCTTATATCAAGGAGTACAAATCCCCGCACAAGGTGACACTAGGCCACATTTATGAAGGGTTGGAGGATATGGACATCGATGAAGTGGTTGAGCAAAAAGAAGACGAACCTTCAAAAGCTCGGTTCCGTCGTGCGATCGCTGGGCTTCTCGTGCAGCCACATGACTACATGGTTCGTGCTGGGACGGAAATGGGAGTGCTGAGTACTGGCGAAGCTGATATCTACCTGCGGATTGGGGAAGAACCTGGGACGCTTTTGTACCACCTCTCTGTTCCGAAAGGAGATGTTGGGGACTTCACTGGCTGGGATCCCCATTTGGGCGGCCCTAATCGTCTGCATTTGACCGCCGTGGGGCAATCTCTCGCTTTCACTCTCCAGGCGCTCAAGTTGCGGCCTCGGAACCAGGCTTGGAGGCAACACGCAATCAACTCATTACCAAAGTGGGAAGTGGTAGTCGCGGATATTTTGGACAGTATCCCGGATGAGGAGGTGCCGAGTTCCGAATATCGCCCTCCGCGGACGAATGGCTTTCTTCGAATGTCGCCGATACAATTACGTCGCAGGCGAAACAATTCCAGTCTTGGTGCTTGCCAATCAATCGACACACAACGCGATGCGGACGACGATCATCCTGACCCAGATACGCCGAGCCGAGATCCACGGACCTATCGGAATATCGGACGAAGAAAGCCACCGTCGACTCATTCAGCACCCACAGCAGCTACACATCGGTCCTCGGGAGAGAACCGTCGCTATTACTGCACGTTAAAATGTCTACATGGAATGGTGAATGGGGGCGAGCTAGATCAGACTTGCCCCAATGTCCTCGATCATGGAAAAACGCGCCATGTCATTAATGCAAGAGCTTTCGTCAAACGGTTGCAGCGTCAATTATCTGAGACCATTAATGCAGATTGCGAAGTACTGGGTATACACGGTTCCCGGGGTGCTCTTTTGAAAGTCACACTGTCATCGCACGGATATACTGTGCCTGCAAAATGCACCGTACCGGAATTTGTGGAACAATTTCGGCACGAAGCTGCTGTATACGCCAGACTTCGTTCAATCCAGGGCATATACATTCCTCTCTACCTCGGAAGCATCGACTTGGCTCATCCGTACAGCTACGACGGTATCGCATATCTCAAGCACATGATGCTTTTAAGTCCGGGTGGGCAGCCTCTCGATCTGGCACTCAGGGAAATGAGGCAAGACTCCTTAATAGCCAAGATGAAAGAGTCGCTCTCACAGATGCACCGCCTTAATGTTGTCCACAAGGACCCGGCGCCGCGGAATTGGTTCTACAATCCAGAAAGCAACAAGGTTGTCTTTTTTGACTTTGAAAGGGCTGAAATCCTTAATTTGCGGCCGATTCTGGGAGCAATCTCACCAAATCGCAAACGAAAATGTATATCCCGTGATGGGCTTGATAAAGCGCTGTCCGAGACAAGGTTTGCGCGAGAAATAAACAGGGCAGTGCAGGAGTTGCGAGGTTGGAAACATTGAGCGATAATCTAGTGAATGTAGCCGCTATGTGTCGAGTCATTATGTATTGTATAGCTGCGTTACGTATCACATAGAATATCTAGGGTAGATTATATATGGAGTGCTCGGTAGCGACCATTCATCATATGGGAATGTAGGAATGGCTAAGATTTGCGGGGCTCAGACGTTGCAAGTAGGAAATGCGGTTATAGTCACTTGCCGTAGAATAATCCCGAGAATAATGTCGAGTGCAATTCGTACCTGCCAATCATGTGATGTACAAACTCTCCGTTTCTATTACTCTATTTCTGGCAATTTATATATGGGCGTAATTATTTGCTGAATAATAAACGAACGTTAAAACAAGCAGGCCTACAATTTCTAGTTTTTGACAAATAATGCGGGGAATTTCCCCCTCTCTGACGACGCAAACAGTCCTCACCATTATTATCTACTTGAATATGTTTACGAAAGATTGCCTTCCCCTAATCGACTTGGCTACAAGGCAAAGCGCTGCTACTATCTCCAGTATACAAAAAGCTCTGCATCAATTTGGTGCTTTTCGACTTGTGGCTCCTAATCTGACTCAACATCTTTTACATGGAGTTTTTCAAGATAAAAGGGCCTTTCTTTCCATGCAGCCAGCATTGAGTTCTGATTCTGACATCTGGTCGTAGGCTCGTGGATTTTTCCAACTACCAACTGAACTAAAAATGAAAATAAGAGGCTACTCAGCCTTTGACACGGAACTTATTCGTGGGAAACCGGCATTTCCCAAGGAAACCGCTTACTTTTTCCGAAAGGGCATCGAGAACAATCATCCTCCCCCTTCGGAGTTCCAATGTTCCGTGGAAGCCTTGCACAATGTCAGTCGTGGCTTAACTTTGTGATACCCTAGAGCTAATTCTCCCCCCGAAAAGTAGTGGACCAATTTGCGAAGTCCGCTATTTAGCACAGTGTCTACTATCCTGGACTCATCTGAAATCGATTGGAGTCATCCTCAAGGAGTAGAGTGTGGCCGTAGCAGGACCTCGAGATACTCCTTTGTCACATTCAATCGCCCCCAAGGATCGTTCAATCTCGGAGGCAACAAGCGAAAAGCTGGTTTTGACCTGGCGCTCCATATGAGATGGCGTAGGAGGCATGATCCATTGCTTAGGCTCCTCGTGGGCTTCTATAAACTTCTCTTCGAGGTTGAGTGTTTTGAAGTAGGATACGAACAGGTGTAGGTGCCACGCATGAAGCCTTCTGTCAGCATGCAGTGCCGACTTGAGCAACACCAGCGGCTCAAAGCTTGAGTATTGGTACTTTGCCTCCAGCCATGCCAATGTGCATTGGCGGTGAGAAATTGCGGCTTCTAAGTAGCCCGCTACCGGTGTCCCCTATCTCAGCAATGTTTGTGCTTCTTGCAGGTCTTCTTGAGATGTGTAGGCTGCTCCAAGCCCTCTACGATCGATGCCTGTCGCTGCAGTATAGGACGTGCAATCCTAATAACGAGGTTGACCGAACTGTGACAACTATTAGCACAGCTGCGGCGGTACTGTTGGAGGACACCACTCACCACTCGATCGCAAAAAGGACAGACGTGTGTCCGCTGCCTGAATTCGGACCTAGTAAATAGAACATGTTGGGAAACTCGTTCATCGCCACAGTTTTGTAAGCGCCGATGCCGCCTCGATCATCCCAAATCTGTTTCAGCGACTTTCCTCGCCGGCCTATCACTGAATCGGCCTTCCATTGAGTGAACTCGAACCTTGTCGTGAGAATCTACGATCTGCGGTCAGCATGGGATATGAATTCATCTTTCTACATGCAACTCACGATGAAATCAACCGGGTATTTGTCGCCTGAACGTGTCACCATACTCTTCGAGTCGACTTGTGAAATCGAGTCCTTGATCAGATTCATTCTAGGGCTGCGAAGAGATCGGATATAGTGATTGTCTAGTATTCTTCGCTACACACAGTGTTATTAGAGGCCCGACACAGTTCAAACACTCACATACTCGGCACCCAAGGTCATAGCCAGGTGTAAGTAAAGGCCAGTATCGCTCTAAAAGGTTTGAGTCAGCATTAGGGTGGCGACTGATTCTGTCCCATACTAACCAGGAGCGTTCTCCGCAATATACTTCCGACTGCGCGAAGCTCTCTCCTCTCTCAATATGTCTCCTTTGGAACCGTTGTAAAACTGCCCAAGTGTGGTATCAAGGATCCAAAAGACCAGCCAACGGATAAGCAGCAAAGTGAGTGGAATGTAGGAGAAGCAAGCGCGCAATACCTTTCCAAATCGATAATTGCCCATAGGCATCGGCACATAATATTGGGGGCTCTACTTCCACATACAGAATCAGAATCAATCGAGCAGACTCGCTGCAATGAAAAACTTACTCGAATGAACTGCGTCAGGCTGCTGACTTCATCGATCACAGCAGGAACTACCTGTGAGCCAGAACCTGTAGGCATGTTATCTAAATGTCCCTGACAGGCGAGTCATAGGTGAACAAACATCCGTTACCCACCACGGCTACGTTGAGGCCTCGGAGGTCGTACTCTTTATTCCATTTGGCAGTATGCACCATGGGGCCTTCAAATGTGTCCAAGCCAGGCAGGATGGGAAACTTGGGATTTGTATAGCCCCCGACAGCGGAAACCAGCACCTTGGCTTCGTGAAGAAATTCCTCTTCTGTCCTCAAATTTCTGAGAGAGACATGCCATGTACCAGATGATTCTACCCACTGGGCACCATTCCATTCAATCTGAAGCTCCACATGTTCTGTGACATTGTTAGTGCGAGCAACGCATTGGATGTAGGATAAAATCTCCTTCTGGGACGGGAAAAGGCTGGTAAATTTTGGGTTCGGGAACCATGACAACGAATATAAAGCTCCGGGTATATCAACACTGCATCCTGGATCTGCCCCTTGTAAGCAAATACCACTTTGAAGGGGACGCAGCAAAATCACATTTGTTGGCGGCCCACGCGCCACCCAATTCTCGAGCGCGGTCGTAAATCACGTAGTCGCTGATACGTAATTGCCGTTGGAGCTGACATGCCATGTTGATTCCCGACAGGCCTGCTCCGATGATGACGACGTCGCTGTACAATCTCTTTGGGCTTTCCATGTCTGACATGTTGTGTGTGAACCAAATAGCGTAGTAAATATCATGGTATGCAATTTATAAGAGCGGGCCCACCATGAGCTTATCAAAAGAAAATACCCAAAGTGTCTGTCTCTGTCAATGAAGCCGACCAGGAAATGATAGGAAGAAGATGAAAAGTTTAAACATAAACAATACTTTGCCAAGATCAACAGCCACAGATCGACACTGCGACACTGCGGGGAAAACGGGTGCACTAGGGGGCCGAGCAAATCGCAGTCAATTGAAGTGTTTACTTCTTTTCTTGCGGAACTACCGCGGGTTTCTTTCATTGGCCCAATTATTTATTCCTGGCCCTAGTGGCGTGGCAGAGCCACATTGATGAACAATAATTTAGTCAGCCTCTTAGTGGGAGAAATTTTCATTCAAACGTACCTCGTGGTTTGTGCTTTCGTTCAAACCCAAGTCCAGCCGACGTGCCACTCAGCAGGAGGTGGCTCTCTTGAAGATTCCGAGTCTACCTCCAATGTTGTTAACCTTGGAATTCCACCCGACTGCAGAACAATGTGGGTTTTGCCCTGGCAGAGAACATTTTCCTCAATGGTTGATAAAAGTCGCAAGTCTCCCCTGGCTGTTTATGTGTTTGGTCTCTTGGCACCAAAAATCCAATGTTGGCTTTATGCCAGCATTCTGAGACGAAACATCTAGGAAGCCATTGGCCCCCCTTATAGTGCTCAGGAGAAATGGTATCTCAGTGCCGACCGAGTTTCCATGCCAGCAGATTTTGTTATACAGAGACAGCAGTCTTCCCAACAGCAAAGCTGAGAGCTCTTGCATAAACATGCATATCAATAAATGGCTGCTAATCACAGCTTTTGTTCCTAGGAAGACCAAACATGATGGCAAATGATACGAGAGTTCTTGTTCACCTTCACATGCCTGCCACCAATAAGCGTGGGCAAGATTGGACAAGTTCAACATCATTGGTTGACGGGATTTGCTACATTAATCTGTTCCTAACTATCTTTGCTTCATCGTCTCTCATGACTGACGCTGCCGTGGTTTCCGCAGGATATAAAGGTGGGTTTTCCCGCCATTGCAGTCCTGTTCGTCCTTTCAGTTTAACATATCTGCTCACAAGAGAATCACCTCGTCAATTTCAACATGGCACATTCGGCCTGCCTGTGCCACGCACAAAGACTCACGCTGAGGTTACAGATGGCTTTGGAAGATCCGCCGTCCCACCCAATAAAAAAAATATCCCCAGGCCTGGCTCCCCGAAGGAAGTTGCAGGAATCTGCTTTTGATGGTGATGATTTTGTTGAAAAAGGAAACATGAGGAGATGTGCTATATCATCCGATGTAAGTCTCAGATTATGCAAAAGGCCGTGGATGGGGCTGATTAAACACATGAGCAGGTTAAGTCTCGAGAATATCTGATCGGCTGTACAGAAGAGGCTAGACTTGCATCCGCTGTTGCGAATTGTCTGGTTCTTTGACTTCAGACGAAGTGATGATGTGCTCATTTCCGCGGACATGAAAAGATAAGGAGTTTGCATGAATTCTCAAATGGTAACTTGAAAATACTCAGGGGAACTATGCTGAAATTTAAGTATACGGAAGGGGTTCTGCATCAGAGGCATTGTATCAGGTCGGGCTGACGGTAGAAGAGCTAGTCAATGAGAAACTAATCGTTCAATATCTGTCGCACTTCATAGCCCTCTAGCATGAATACATCATGACGTTCTTTTGATCTATTACACTCTGTAAAGCTTTCAACATGGAGTCTTCCTATGCTTCTAGCTATGGTCGTCTGGTCGTCTGGTCGTTCGGGAGTACGAGATCCCGATGCAGGACTGGCTGGAGGGAGAGATGACTGGCACTCATTTGGGTGTGGCACGTCATTATTGGCTAGGAGCTCAGTACCTTCCCAAACAGGGCTACAGCCGAGTGCCAAAAATAATACAAATGGGCGAGACAATTGCGGTTTTTCACCGAGCCGTAAAACAATTTCCGGACATCGGGTTCTATAGACCCTGCAAATCTCACACAATGGAAATTGGACAATACTTGAGGAGTTCCTCCCAGTGAGTTTAGATATTACTCCTCAAGGCAAATATCTCGCTGCTAGCAAGGTTGCGAATGTCCATCGCAACATCATTATAGCAGAATTGCCCCACTTTACTGATTAAGATGCAATGCGGACGAAGGCGCGGATCATCTAAGGCACGAAGAAAAGAAATTTTCGACTGATCGGGAAGTAGCGTTCCATATTGTGCCTAGAGAAGGATTTTAAAGAGATGTGTGAGAGCCGACCACGGAATGGAATTGTATTTGGGAAGGCAGTAACCCTTTTGTAGGAAGAAAGATCTGGTCTTTATTTAAAAAGAACAAATAAAGGCAATTCAGAGACATGTTCGGTAATACATGTGATGCTTCACCGTAAGCATTAACCGTGATTCTAGGGGGCAGATGTCGCCGTACGGCTCCGCACGAATCGAATCGAATCGAACTTTCGCCAGATTCGATTCGATTCGAATTAATATCGAGAATATCAGTTCGTACGAATTCGATTTGAAGACCGATTCGAATTCGATTCGAAGTTCGCGAACCTTTTCTGCTAACCCCTGATTTGGAAAGCAGTCAGTCATGTCCGACTATATCGCACTATAACTATCTGTTGTTCTACAATCACATCTGGTAGGTATTTTTTGAGCTAGCTAGTTAAGAAACTCAGCGAAAGCTCCATTTAATCTGACAAAAATTGAAATTTTTGGCTTCGGGTTGGATAAGCTGGAGCGCAGCATCAGCAGATATAAATTTTCGCCTGAACTCTATCCAAGATATATAGCTCTACTCCCAAGATCGCTCAACAAGTCCGTAACCTTATCTGTGATCGGTTTTATTTCAATTAGTATTAGCTCATAGACCGTATAAAGATACATGTAGTCTATTGATATGGATTCAAATTATCAATAGTTGCACGTTGAATAAAATGTTGTACATGGATAGTCTAATCGGGCTAGCGGAGATTGTAGAAGAACGCGTCTCCGCACGGACGTGCTTCTACCAAGAACAACATCCAAGTCTTGGTCAAAAGCTACATAAAACTATCGTTTCTGGTGCTCCAAAGTAAGCGATGGATTATGACACAAGCGTGATATGCTTACTAATATAACCTTACAGATGACATCTCCACTTGCAAACACATTCGACTGTCCTAACACCAGGAAGAATAAACGCGATTATGCTGCGCTTCATAAATATGGCCTCCTTGAAGAGAATATCCCACTTCCGCGACCTCGAAAAAAGACGGCGGTCCGGTCTGCTCTTAACTCACCAAACACTCCGGTTTCAATTTCTCCGACCTCTCCGAATGCTCCCAGCAACGTTTCTATCAGCGTATCGAATCTTGACACGGATATACGCCCTTCACAATCAATATCTCAGGTCGAATGCGAGACTGAATGTGTCGAAATCAAGCAGAGAGACGGTATTAGGTTGAAAGAACGTAGCTGGGTGTGGAAATACTACCAAACAACATCTGAATCTGGTACGTGGAGATTAGGAGATAAGGAGCGGCCCGAGCTTAAACATCGGTGTATTGTATCACCATCTACATGTCGATTCTTCCGATTTGCATCGAAACTACGATCTTCCACCACAGCGTTGAAACAGCACCTGCAGCAGACCCACAAGCTCTTCCAGGACGGTCAATCGGAGCGCCAAGGGCCGTTAAGCTCATGGATTGCCAAAGAAAAGAAGCCCCCTTTCGAAGAGGCTATCTTAGATTGGATTATATCTACCTGTCAACCGTTTACATGTGTCGAGCAGCCTTCATTCAAGGCTATGCTGAGGTCCATGGACTTTGAGGAGTCTATACCAGGTGCGGACACGGTTTCGCGCCGATTAAATCTTCGGCTTGACGCTCTTGACAGTGAACTCCGAATCTTGATGGCTTCAGCACCCTCAATTGCGCTATCTCTGGATGGCTGGACAAGCCAGAATTCACTACCAATGCTAGCAATCAATGCTCACTGGATGTCATCTACTTTCCAGCAACATCGAGCCTGTATTGAGTTTGTTGAGATCACAGGCAGCCATTCTGGAGAGAACCTTGCCAATATTGTTGCGACGGTTCTTGAGAGATTTCATATATCTGATAAAGTTATGACCATTACAGCTGACAACGCATCTAACAACGATACACTACACCGATGTCTTTTCCAAAGGCTATGTCAGCGGTACGATGAGTACCTTGCCGAAACTGTTATTCGAGAAGGGACGATGAAGTTCACCCAGAACTCCCAAATCCGCTGCTTTGCTCACATTCTCAATTTGGTTATGAAAAAAGTATTGAGGTCGTTACGCGCCAGTTCACATAGGGAAGCTTGTGACTTCCTTGACGATGTTGCTAAGAGGAGCTGGAAGATAATGACTGTTCCTACTTCCCCGATTGCAAAGCTTCGGCTACTTGTCCTTTGGATTGCGCGATCTCCGCAGCGAATACAGAAGTGGGATAATCGGCCTGGCTGTACGAAAGCCATTCACTACGATGTTGATACTCGTTGGAACTCTACTTTTGTTATGATTGAGAGAGCTGAAGAGTGTCGCCGGCAGCTCGAAGATACGGTCAACGATGAGCCGGATATTGAAGCCCTACGTCTCACATCTAACGATTGGAGACAGCTATCAGATATCAAGAAAGTCCTAACTCCGTTCAACGAATATACCGAGTACGTCTCTCGAGATAGCCCCTCAATTCATATGGCAGCGCGGATGTTTGAAGAGCTCCGCTCTATACTCTTGGCTATTAAGGAACGGCGAGGCGACTGGCAGAGTATCTCCCCGGCTCTGACCGGTCCTATATCTGATGGAGTCGTACTTCTGGAGCACTACCACGACTGCGTCAAAAACAACGACATGTACTATATCGCAAGTGTTCTGGACCCTCGAATCAAGACCAAGTGGCTCAAAACTCTGCCAGATGGAGAGAGAATCATCAACCGAATCAGATCTTTCCTCAAAAAAGCATATCCCACTCCGAAACAGCCTATATCAACTGCTCTAAGCACCAGTTACAAGAGCTTCGAATATCGATTTCTGGAAGCCTTTCAACCCGCACAGTATAATGTCGCTGAGTCTGATATCGACGAGTATTTCGATACCCCTACAATCAGCACTGGTTTTGATATAAGTCAGAGCCAGACTGAGTTTATACGAAACTGGTGGAACATCAACAGGCTTGAATTTACCTGTATGGCTAAGGTAGCACAAGATCACCTTGCTATACCAGCAGCAGAGGTGGATATCGAGAGACTCTTCAATAATGGGAGAGATGTGCTTGGAATTCGACGTTTCTCCATGAAAGGGAAGACGCTTGGGACCTTGTTAAGGCTGAAAGATGCTGAAAGTTGGAAGTCTGAATAGTTATATAGTTATAGTTTTTACAGCGTAGGATAAGAAAGAACAGAAGAACCCTACCTAGAATCACCTTCTCGTGCGAATCCAATGGATATAGTGGCCAGGGTTGTTGAGGTTATGGCTGTCCGCTTGAGCAACCTACTTAAATAACGTTACTAGATATTAGTTCGCGAATTTTGACGAATCGAATCGCCCATGGATTCGAAGCCCGAAATCCAAGGTTCGAATTCGATTCGATTCGCCGAAATTCGCGAACTTCGAACAGTTCGAAAATTCGTGCGGAGCGGTATCAATGACATCTATCATAAATTCTTATTCTCGCAGTAAAGTTTTTCCGCGCGGTAGCAATAAGCCAACTGTCTCCTTCCAACCCCCACAAGGGCTTCCTTTGGATCCATCATGAGCGCTCAGGCCAAGCTCTCTTCGTTTTTCATCCTATCCTCTGAAGCTCACTCTACTTGAAGCTATATTTCTAATATACGTCATCTAAAACCCTAACTACGTACACGTGCTATGCAGCCTCGTCTCGACCCTTTGAACCTCCAGCGCAGCGAATCAAAGTAGTCAGCAAGCATGGCGAGCCAGCCCCCACAAGAGTGCTTCTCTGCTCAGCATTTTGCCCTCATCTATATTGATCAATATGGGATTGTTCACCATGAGATTTCTCCTTCCATCGTCCACCATCGCAACACTGTCCTTTCCCCCCAAGTCACCGCGGACTTCTTGAAGGCGGTAGCGAACTCCGCTGAAGTTGATCCGCAAAGCCCTTCCCTGGAATTTGCTTCTACCCTGCTATTCGCTGACCTCACTGTGAGACCTGATTTTCACGATTTGGGGTTTCAAAAGAATGTAAAAGGACACATTGTGCCCACGTCGAATGGATATCATGAACAGCTTACACTATTGCCAGGCGATGCAATGGCTAACTCGACCATCTTGAACGACAAACTGCTTCACATAAAAAAGTCTCGTACGCAGAAGCAAAGCCTGGAGCCTCAAGAAGCAATACTCTCTATCAAAGATACAAACTTTCTTCGCCGTTACTACGAAAAAGTCTTTCAGAATGTACAGCAAACCAATTGCCGAGTCCTGGCAAAAGCTTATGTGAAACTTGTCGAGCCGCAGAAGCAAGTCAAATACCCATACAATGGACGGAAGGTCGTGGCGGGGAAAATACTGCAATTAAGTCCCGAGGAGAGTAAGCCGCCATGGTGGCCTCCTGAAGTGCGCCATCGGGAACCCGACCATCTACTCAAAGCAGGTAACAGGATACTTTCCCCCGCCTGGTTATCGCAAAGCTCATCATCTCACCAGAACGCATCGCGCTCCTTCTCCACATTCTTTGTGATTTGCACTACAGTCACGGAGTTACCTCACAAAGATTGAAGGATTCAGAGCAATCTGTTCGGTCGCAGATTATCCCGGTGAAACGATCAGAACTCCTAGATGAGTTGTATCGTGTTAGAGGAGAAGAAGAAAGGTTTTGGGAAGGGTTCCTTGGTAGGGGCTTGCAATTACCTATCGCTCATAATCTAACCAAGTACACCAGACAATAACGCAACTGTGTGTATTTCGCGGATCAATTTACCGGTTGCCGATGAATCATCCCACAAACAGGACCAGCCGAATAGTTGGGTCTCTCTGAAGTACGAACAAAATTCAGCAACATACGATTCATCCTCTCACACACCGGGTTTTTACAATGCGCCGCCTAATTACCCGCAGTATAACTTCGCAGAATACGCCACTTGCCAAGAATCCATGATAGACTCTTTGCCGGCCCCTGTAATGTCATTCACCGCACTTGAAAAACAGCACCCAATGGTCCAGGAGACTTGTCCTTCTGCAGCAGTTCTCAATACCACAGAGTTGACGTTTTCTCATCATGTCATCAACCATTCTTTGCTCGTGGATTTTCCAGCAATGGAGGGAGTCGCACTTGGGCTACAAAATGCTCCCATATCGGTTCACGCTGAATGAGCAGTATTTGCAGATTTCAGTCAAAATTATGCGATTCAAAGATAATATCGTCACTCGCTCCCGTTGAGTCATGCTTGTTCTCTATATCTGTATACTGTAGTCGCCACAAAGACCTAGAAGACTCTTTCCCCCTATAATAAGTTCTGGTAGCAATAGAACAAGCTTTTCATATAAAAACTTCCACTTATATATTCTTTCTTGGTTGTGAGATCTTCAGTCAAGAAATCCACTTCCCAATACTGCAATAGATCATAGATGCATTTGGAATTGGTCTAACTTGCGGTGTAAAAACTATCAAGTGCTGCACGAGCGGAAGTCACACTTGCGGTGAGACTAGTGAGCGCACCATCATTCTCGCCTGCTCATGTTAGCGAGGAGAGGACTTCCCTTTTAAGTAGCGTTGCGCCGCATGCAAAGACATGAAGAGCCGAGGTTTTGAATGAGGTCGTTCTGAACCGCGAACTCGAAAGTATTATTGAACTTCGGGAGTAGGCCCTCAACTACAGGTTCGTGGGGAAATTGTGGTTCCCCGGAAGCTGATTGGACACGGCAATTTGGCGGTTTGAAAATGCTACCCCACAAGCAGTTTGAAATTTCGGCTTGGATATCAAACAATCGTTGCTAGTATTACAGTAGAAGGAAGTGGCGGGCATTCGGCTTCCTTGCGCTTCTCATACAAGTTGAGGGCCAGTTCTCCTACGATTGATGAAACCCGTCCTTTCTCTGCCCCTTTGGATACAGGCAGAACCTATAGAGCGCGCGAAGAGCATGAGCAAGTAGATGCGAGCGAATAAGACAAATTCTAGTATTGGAGAAAATTGAAATGTTATTGTTGTCCAAATGGGTTTCCTCCGACCAGCTATTTCCGTTATGACGAGTGCAGTTCGCTTCATTCTCAGCCTCCTTTATGCCAATGCCGCGGTGGTTAACCCATATGCAATAGAATCAAGTTGCATTTCTTCCTCAGGGTAACGTGGAATAAGGGATAATATCGCTTCGTTGAAATCAGTGAAAGACGGCTGGATTGACAATGCTGCACTTTCAAAGACAGGAGGATATGCACCAGAATATGCCCAGTCAATCAACCACACCTGTTCATGCTGATCTAAGATCAGGTTTCGAGGACTGATGTCGTGGTGTGTAAGGACAAACTTAGTAAAATGGAATGGCGGAACGTCTTTTGGAGCTTGATGGACGCTCTTGCAGATTTCTAGCTTGTGATTAAACCAAGCTTCCATTTCAACAGCGTCCATAAAAGGGCCAGCACTATAATCTGTGAAGAACCGACCCCGACATGGTCCTCCACCAATGGGGCCGGGTTTCAAAAGCTCAATAGATTGCATCTCTTGGATCATTTCAGCAACCTGCGAAGCGATTTTGCCTTGAGTGTCACGGGATAGGGCGTTCCAGCACTCATCCAGCGGTTGGCCCGGGATAAAATCCATGACAATATACCCAGATGTACCAAAATATTGTGTATCATCTTTTAACTGGAATGAGCGATAGACTCGTGGGACTCGAATAGTGGTTCTGGAAGCAACAAGGCGAAGCATTTCCGCTTCACTAGCCATGACACTTCCACCACCCTTCATGATCAAAGTCTTCGAAAGCCGCACAACCGTCGTTCTACCTAGCTGATGAAGAATAGGAGCCGTTGTGAGAAGGGCTGCCTGAGCCTCGTCTGTGACAGAATTAAGATCCTTTCCATCCAGTGGAAAAACCCCATCAGGCTCACGACTTTGTGGCTTGACGTGGGGATGTCAGTAGATCATATTCAGCAGATTATCAGTAAACATACATGGGCTAATGGGCGCATGAATAGTTCCATTTCAGTGATAGATGACGATAAATGTGAGATATTGCAAACTTGGGGAACAGGCTCCACAGGATTATAAAGGGAAACCGGAGATAAGGGTTTCCGTTTCGGGATTTTATTTGTTTGCATTATTCGTGGCTCACTGACTTACTGCCTACGGGTGCTTTATGCAGTGGGATTGCCAAATAACCGAGGGGACTCGACTTGCCAATGTGCCACTGAGAGCCAGCCTTGTTACGTACTGAAGCATGCTAACGGAACTCGTGTTGTCATGGCTCTGGTCAACCCTGGGCGAATGACATGATCAATAATAATAGACCGTCACGTAACCTCCCTTCAATGCCCTCCGACATAAAAGACTCCGTTGTTTGCTATGGCCTAAGTCAGCTGGTCCTCCGGTTTTCCTATGGAGGTGAAAAATATCATGGCAGCCTCCAGAATTCTTTCTATTCATCTGTCAATCCAGCATAACAATATGCTCAAATCATGCTCCTGCCTTGACCGGGAAAGGCCATATGGCTCTCGCCTCTTCTGCGGATTTCTCCCCAGCAACGCTTTCAATGTACATAGTCAACAATTCCTCATTCTGCCTCCTCTTCTCATCCACATCCAATCCTGGTGCGACCCATCCTTCCGCATCAGTGTCAAGGCATTCTTGCGCAAGAGCCTGAATCTTATACCAAGCTTGATACTCAGAGAATTGGCGATCGTGCGTATCGACCTGCTCCTGCGTAAAGGATAAAGGGCATTCTCCAGAAAATCCAAGGTCCGACCAATTCTGAAAGAATACTATCAAGCACGCACGAAGAGGGAGAACGCCAATTTCGGAGACTTCCCCGCATCGAAGGAATAACTCTCGGAAGACACGGGGTACGTTCATGGCCCTATGCGCTGGTTTATTCTCAAGCAAGGTTGAGATCTCATAGGCCTTTGCCAACTTTACTTGGGACCATTCGCGCATTGCAAGCATCTTGCCATCCTCATCTAGGGTATCGAAATCATCGCGCAGTTTCACCTCAAATATCCCCTTCTCGTAATCGTAGTTCTGCGGGGGTTTGAGAAATACTAGCCATTGGGTCTGGAGAAATGCAGGGAGAACAGAAATCGACTGGAGGTCGATGAGGGATACTATTCTTGAACACTCGTCAGAGGCGACGAAAATGTTTCCCATATGAAGATCGGGATGCCATAGAGTAGGCTGGGAAGCTTCCCCTTTCAATATTTCGTTCGAGTCTAAAAGTTCCATGACACTCTCTGTTGCTTGTAAGAGTTCAGTTTGTTGTTCGATATCTCCTTTATAAAAGAGTGCTTGATCTTGCTGGCCGTTCTTTGATATTCGTAACATTTCGCGCTTTGCAATAGAAACCCCGAGGGTTGAAACTGAATAACCTAGTAACAGTTAGTATATAAACTGTCAAAATACGCAGGGGACTCACAAGGTCCTTTATCAAAGTCCAGACTTGGATCAGGATTATATCCTCGATGACAAGAAGGTCCAATACAGAAGGATGGATCAAGTTCATCATCAAGGGGCTTGTTTGGTTGCTCTATATCCGTTCGAAGATACAGTCCTCCATAAGCAGGGAAATGAATAGCTGATAGTTGAGCCTCGATCTGGGTCAAGTTCCTGATTAACTGTAGCTGATCAAATTCGGTCATACTACCCCAAACTTGAAACAATGGAACACCGGCGGCTTTCTCCATGATTATATATTCTGCACCGACAGCATTTGAGTTGTTCGAAGACCAGGCAAGAACACGAGGGACAGGGATGCTTGTATGTTTTCTAACTGTTTTATAGGATATTAGCCACTGGAAGTAGAATTATACCATTATAATGTACTGTATTCGAGAGCGCCGACTTCACCAGCTGTCGTTAAGGTGGGCGGGCCAGCAATGTGGCATGGAATTTTTGCTATCACTTCGGATCCATTTTCCTTTCTCATCAAGAAAGCCTTGCTGAAACCTCCTTCCATTTTGTCAATAGCTGTGACCTGACTGAACTTTCCGCCGATTGTTGCAGTAGTATTGCAAAGTTCATCCACATCGAATCGGACGTATCTTCTGTTTAGCTGATATTCTTCGTTGGCAAGAAAATAGCCATTGGTGTAAGCGAAAAGCTCCTCCTGTGTAATGGGTGCACCTATTTGAACAATTAGAAACTGAAAGCAGCTGCCTTTGCACCAAATCCCTTTCCCTCTTACCTCGACATGTTATCGATAAAGACGATCCAGGTCTGCCATATCGATGTGTAGTAAAATTTCTGAGTGCTCTTAGCATTTTGAGAGCAAGCGTTCAACACACACGTAAAAGAAAGAGGTGGTAGAAGGGATGCCGGCAGGGAACTCTGAGACACTTCGGGCGGTAACGTAATTCACTACCGAGTGGCCACCACCCCCCAGTGGCCACCTCCAAAACACATAGTTAATGCGATATATTACAACTTGGTATCTCAACAGCAGCTGCCTATAGGAACTTTTCCTTTTTTCCTATTTATTCTTATATGATATCCAGTATATTGAGGAAGTTTTAAGGGATTCAATGTGTTAGTGACTGAGAAATATGTATTTCTAGATTTTAGTAACGTAATTTTCGGTAATTTTTGAAAATGATGATAATATCGTCTTCTACTCTCTTTGAAATTGGTATATCTTACTAAGAATATTTATCGATGCCTATCCACCAATAATGAAAGTTACATTAGGCTGCGGTGGTTGTAATAATATATCGCATTAACTATGTGTTTTGGGGGTGGCCACCCGGTGGTGGTGGCCACTCGGTAGTGAAATACGTTATGGTAGATGAGTCAGCAGTCTTAGCGTCCACCACGGGTCCACGCCTACACCTTTGAGATCATATAATAGCTATGAATGAAAATTGCGTCAGCTAGACCTGCTATCTAGGCCTCTGCACAGGACCGAAAAGACCGCAACCAAGATCGCACCAGACCCGCACCGCGCGGTCTTTGGTCCTATACCTTGAGACCGCTGGGCGGTCCTACCTTTTTTTAGGACCGCACCACTGCGGTTTGGTGCGGTCCTGCGGTCCTGTAAAGAAGCAAAAATTCTAAACCCCCGTGGCATGCATAATTTATGTAGAAGCCGCCGGTATTTTTGAGTATTTTGCTTTCAACTCATACTTGATTTTATACCATTCAAAGGTAGGAGGAAAGACTAATTCTTTGTTTAGCTGCTATAAATCTCTGCCAAAAAAGCGAGGATTGACTGATTCTTTCAGGAATGGCTGATTTGATTCTTGTTTCTATTAAAGATATACAAAATCCTCATCCTGTCTCAAGCGCTTTGGAACACGCCCAGAGGAACGCCTCTGAGTAGTCCTTTCTTCTTCCAAGTGGCTATTATCAGGCAGGGGAACCTCATCATCCTCGAGTTCAATTAGCTGATCCGATATAGCCCTTCTCTTTCCAAGGGCTCGCGCATTAGGATTTTGGATAGTTTCGGCAGAAGCTTCAGAATTAGATAGGTCCTCTTCATCATCACTGATTGGATCAAATTCTTCCTCTTTCTTCTGGGCATCCTTCTGCTCTTTCTTTGCTTGCTTCTCTTGCGTAGAAAGATACTCATCAATCAGGGCAAGCTGCTCTGACTCCACGTCGAACTTTGTTGTACACATAAACAACATCAATTCCTTAATTATCTGCGGTTTTAATGAGCCCCGGCGATAATGACAGATATCACGGGCAGAGTTAAACAACCGCTCAACGCCAGAACCACTAGCGGGTGTTGTGAGGACGTCTCGGGCAAGGCTTGCCAGAATAGGGTATTCATTTCGGTGTTCTTTCCAGAAAACGAGAGGCGTTGCTTCAACAGTACCTAGTAAGGTTAGTATGGGAGAAGAAGTATACAAGAAGGGATTAAATTAATACTTCCAAGATACCGTGTAAGCTCATCTGAAGCCGTCGCTTTTGACTGAAGAGATACAGTAGATCTCAGAAGGATGTCAATATCAGAGACGTCTTGACTTATAGCCTGGAGAGTTGATGTAGACTGTGTCTCTTCGTAGCGCTGCCGGTAAGGCTGAATATAAGCCTCTAGCGACTTCTTATAGCGTGGCCCCCAGTGAGGTTCCCATTCTGATGTTGTAAAGAACTCTAGCTTGTTCCGTGGCGCCAGGATAGTCGCAATTGCATAGAGATCACCAGGGATATCATCAGTCTTTCCATAATACTCGGTAAGCTTATCTCGCGCACGATCGAGCGCGGACTTCATCACCCTCTTCCAACCAACCTTCTTCCGCGCGAGCTGCGCTTTCGCCTTATCAATGTGGGTGAACAGGGCGTTATAGATACCAAAGACGTTGTGAATGGTCACATCTGTAGTTGCTGAAAGAGACGAGGTGAATTTGAAGAAGGGATAGGTGATTGACAGAAGATAGTCAACTTGTCGCCATTCATCTCCGTCCATCCTCATATCAGTAAGGTTGAACTGGACACAGAAATCATCAAAGGCAGACTGTAACCGCTTAGCACGCCGGAGCATAAGGAACGTTGAATTCCACCGTGTCCGAACATCTTGTATAGGCATAAGCTTTGGCTCTTTTGTCTGAAGCCGCATTTGGAATTCTCTTTTGGTTACCTGCAGCACGAATCGGGCGAGGGACGTGGCCTCTCTGCGATAGTGCGATTCTTGTGTTCATTTCGTGGACTGCAACATCTGCATCTGAAGTTATCCAACTTCCCGGCATCAAAATCCGACATCCAGGACGCAATCCGACACCACCAGTCTACGTTGGAAAGCCTTGTCTGTCATGAGCGCCAACTCGCTCCTATCGACGCTGATGGCTTGTTTCAAGATGATCGGGATGTGTCGCCCGCATGGATAACAAACCTGTCTCCCATCGTAGACCTTGGCCAGCTGTCTGCTCTGGCGCTGTGTGCTAGTCCATCTGTGGCTGTAAGTCTTCCTCGGTCCACTTGACGTGTGTATACTAACAGAAATAGCGGCGGTGCCATCAACCTATGGCGAAGCAATCCCAGCTCCAGATCTTACATCTGCGGTTCAGCGGCCTCGAACGAATCCACCAAGACATCCCACGAGAGATTACCACCTTTCCCCATGAGATGCGCAAAGAGTATTCTCGGCGTCCTCGTTCGTGGCCGGGTTCCATGGACTGGAATGCCTCCATTGATGACAACTACGATCTCAGTTTCGATGAATACTTTGATAGGCCACGACTCGAGTATCTAGACCCGCAGGAGGCAGTCCCTGCGTCTTCTGCAGCGATTGCAGAGGCCGAGGATTTTGTGTCATTTGCTGACTGGGCATTTGGCCCCGACGGACTGCCAGCTCTGTAGGTCCTCGCGTTTGGAGACTTCTCCCGCGGTGATCGATACAGGGACCAGCAGTTTTTGATACGTCGTAACTGTTCTTCATGCGAGTGTGGTGGCAAGGGACGTGCTGGCCTTGCATGCGATGACACGACGCGGTTGCCTTTTCGTGTGGCAAATATGAAGGACCCTTCCATTTGGGACGGTGCTGTGGTGGACGGAGCTCGTTTACTCTCCGCGTGCCCCGGAGGCGGGCTGATGGAGTCACCGTACGAGTTGTAGATCTGCATTGTCGCTTTCTGGGTCTTCCTCCGTGGTTCGCAACGGACTGCTACGCGATGCAACGCGTTCTATGATGGAAATTTGTTCAAAGAAAGTTAGGGAATACGGTTATGGTCTATTTTACGGGAAACTATCGAGCTGCGATTTTTGAATTCAATCCAACGAGTCCACAGTAGGCGTATGGAACTTGTAAAAGCCCTCTGATCAAGATCAAAAGAATTCGCCACGGCAGGCCAACCTCAAATTTTTCATGCATCCAAGTTTCTTTGACAATCATTCAAGTACTTGAGATTATCGCAGAGAATTCCAGGACTTAGAGCTGGGATAATGATGATGCCAGTCAATCCCTGATCAACAGAACTACATAATTATGAGAGACCAGGTGTGATCAGACCTGCAGCTTAGCGCCGACATTGCGATCTGGACTGCAGTTCAAGCCGGGCTCGGATTACAGTAACGTAACAGACCCCCAAGCTGCGCAGAGCCCCAAGCTGCGCACCCCACCCAAAAACGCGTCCATTAATTAAACCTCTTCTCTTTAACCACCCACCATGCCACCAATTCGTACTCAATCCTCTCAAAATCGTACCGAGCAAGAGTGTAGGCTTTCATCGGCAATTGAGGCAATTCGAAAGCAAGGATTTGACCATTATTTGCAAGGATAACATTCTCTCGGCCCATAAGCTTGTTATTTGTCCCAGATCAAAGTACTTCCAAAAAGTTTGCTATAGCGGGTGTAAGGTGGTACAAGTTCTGTCTGTCAACTACTATTGAACCTAACACTGATAAGCGACGATGACTTGCAGGAAACCGAACATCCGATTAGCCTAACCGAGAAAAACTTATATTTTTTTAGATCCGCTTATCGTGAGAGCATAACTTTGAGCATCGATCTTGCTAAATTAAAAAGCCCGGGGAAACCAATACTCGTTCCTGGGGCTATCCAGTTCACTCCGAGGAGCTGTATGTATCCTAGGAATTATGAGTCTGATCCCTAGGAGCGACCAAGAGCACTCCTAGGAACTATGCTATGGAATATAATCTCAGCAACATGAGGGTCTTGCGAAAGCGGTATCTGATACGGGTAATCAATTTGGAAGGCAAATTTGAACGCGGGCAAAGCACAAAGACACTGTTTGAAGACACATGATGTTGATCAACAACAACGGTCATTTGGAAGTTGACCGAACGCACAATCAATATCAACGATGCTCTCCACGATAATCAGTGTAAGACATCGTCGACGAGTGGTAAAATACTATAGTGGTGAAGGATGAGGGTCAATTGCAAGAAAATTTGCACGTTGATCTGGCGGAGACTTGTTTAATAGGATCGCTCAATGGTGTGGGTCCCGGAAGCTTTCCATACTTCCGCTGCACATAACAGCTACGATTGGCTGCTCCTATTCAAGCCTGTGGTAATTGAGGCATTTTATCTCAGGTATGGTGCAAGCGGAATTATCAGGCAAGCGGGGAAGCCTGTCACCTGAAGCGGTCCAAGGGCCATACGATTAAACCCCTCTACCCCGCTCACAACCTAGTTTCTCCGTTCTTGTTCAATCAAATCATCATGAAGCTTGGCGCGTATCTCGATTACAGTCACGGGCAGTACGAATGCACTCTTTGCGAAAGGCATTTTGGCAATGAAGCTGCTCTTTACGATCATTGCAGACAAACAAGTCGCCATGCGTGGTGTGAACGATGCTCCCGAGTGTTTGTTTCGGGTTCTGCAAAGAATGCACATCTTCGAGAATCCAATTTCCATCATATCTGTTCGAGCTGTCCTCAGTTACTGGACATTGAGACTGACAATGATCTTGAAGATCACCTAGTCGAGTGTCATCATTACTGTCCGAACAGTGACATCTGCTGTGATTCAAAAAAGCAACTTGAAGAGCATGATGTTGAGAAGCATTGCATTTGTTTGAAGTGTGGAGAATTTTTTCAAAACAAGAACAATTTACAAATGGTACAGTAACAGTGATACCAATGGAGCAATGAATGACATTTGCAGCCATTACCTAACCAGCCAACAGCATCAACAAAAGCACTATCCTCGAAACATGGAATGCTACGGCTGCTACCAGACATTCAAAACGTTCTCTGGGATGATGATACACCTGGAATCTGGGAACTGCGAGTCGGAGGTGACCAAGGATGAAATTGCTCACGACTGTTTCCAAAGCCGGAAGTAAATTGATGACGATATCGAAGATGGAGGATGGACTTACGTATGTCCGAGTTGTACCAAGAATTTTTCCAAGCTTTCAGCGCTTTACCAACATGCAGAAGACGCCGGTCTCTGCTCTCATTCAATGAAGGAACAAGGTTGTCAGGCGAAATTGGAACGTTTCATTACTAGTCGTCTTCGGTCGTCCCAGAGGATGTTCATTATACTCCGGACTGTGGGCAGTCACTGACATTAACATATGCCCAGCATTTGTACTTACGGTCTAGCAATCTCATTAACTAGAACAGAGTCGAAGTTCCTTTATTGAGCTTTTTAACATGAGTGCTGCCCTTAGGGCTCAACATTTGTGAGTATACTTCTTAGGAGAGTTTGCAATTTAAAATGGAACACGTGCCAGTCAAAGAGCGTATAGGATCTATAGGGTAGATATCAAGACTCGTGTTGTGTCAAGAAACCAGGGTTCTGCGACCGAGATAATAGTTGCAAGAGACGCAGCTGATTCGGACAGTCCCGCAGCGTGAGCGCTCGCAGGGAGCAGAACATCTCATTTTGCTCCAATGAGATATCTAGAAGCAGGGTCACCTTTGACAATGACAGCGTGGACAGAGCGGGAAGCGCGGTCAAATTCCCAATTCCCAGATCCTCGTTCCTTGCACAGCCGGTCCCGATAACACCGACCTCGAACTCCGATGTCTGAAGCCCAAGGCTCTCCCAGCACAGAGCACGGGCAAATGCAGATGGCACAAATCCAATGCACAGATGATCAAGACACCAGTTCTGACAAATGCACTGTCGCAGAAAAGCAACATCGGACGGATGTTGGAGTCCTTCCCATTCAAAAATCGTCAGACAGGAGAGCCTAGACGCGCCTTCCTAACGGTGCACAGTTTCAGGACAGGTCCCTAGTCGCCATCAATTGCTTGTCAATCGCAGGTCTAGACGGGTGGGTGCCGGTCTCAACGGACTCAAATTTACTTAGTCGATTTGGCTTCAAGTGGGTGGATTGGATATCAGCTGCAACTGATCCTTCACGTCGTCGAGAAATTGCTGATGTGCCGTCGCCTCGTCCGAAGGACCCAGTGTAGCCGGTGAATTTGGCAGCACTGCCAAACGGAATATAGTGTAGTATGCACATCGATTAAACCGAACTAGGTGAAAAGGAGCCTTGATCTGTAGGTGCCGAACATGCTAAATGTAGCCTGCGAGAGTCCCTCGATCTGTTGTAGTTTCCATCTGGTCGAATAGGACCACTAAGACAATCTCTTTAGTAAAGTTCGCTGCTACTACAGCTGCATACCCTTGCTATTCCTTATTGTTGTTTCAGTCGGCGTAGTCACAGACGCTCCGGAAAACAAGAAATGGGAAGTTTTTCATGAACTCAACCGTTTTTATTTCCGCACAAAGCACCCTTAAATCTCAAACTAGCTGGTCTCGCCGCCTGCCATCTTTCACAACTGATTTGCAAATGCAATCAGCCCATAGTGTATTACTGGTTTTTCAGCATCTCGTGAAGACCGTGAGGAAAACCTGGACCGATCACAATTGAGGCATATAACAGATGCTCCATGGTCATATTCTGTTTTGTATAATAGGCCCTCTCCGGTTGGTCTTGCAAAGTTGGCAACTGTCCGCGGCCTCATTCTGGCTCGGATGTTAGAAATGAATTCAAGATCTCGACTATTTTCTGTGAAATTCTGGGCTTAGAGTTTAGCGAGCGCTGTCAGCAGGACCTTGGATGGCCTACCAAGCATCCCTGTTCGCTGAGATTGACCACCGCTTAACGATTTACCGAGATCCTATTAGATCACGCCTCCAATGTGTTCGCTGTTTGGCTCACCGCAATGTCGCCTAGTCGAATGCCTGCGCTGCTACTTGGTATACCTCCATTGATATGAGTAAAACTCAAGAGCAACTGTATCGACGCCGTTGCACCATATACATTGCCTTATTCCTCACATGTAAAATAGGCAATAACGATGGTGTATTTCCCGATACTTCCCAAAATATACGTACTTTGATATGTCAACCGTCGAGGCAGATTCCGTTGCGTTGCATCCAGCATTAGCTTTGCGGCTGCCGTCTCCTAGGGGTAAAGCGCATATGTATTCATTGCCATCAACTTCGAGAGACGATCCAAAATGAGGCAGCAGCTGTAAGTGCTCAGCTTCCTCCTTATTTCTATCAACATGCTTTGCTTCACGGATCACTCGCCGCAGTCAATGGTCAATCGAAACCCCTGGGCACTCCACGTTTATTGGAATGAGAGCTGGCCCTAGTGTATCTGCACCTAGACAAAGTTTCACGTTGATAGCCAACGCCAGATATGTAAATCGAGAAAGGTGAGCGGTAATTTGTGTTCCAAACGCCCCACAATTCTCTACAATTCCATGTATGATATGGTTCAGTTTACAATACGTCCTCTGTGAGGGAATACATAGCCATTACCACAATCGCCAGGATTGCCAAACTATTCTACGAGATTCCATGAGGCGTTACGGTGTTATAACGATGACTCATTCCGCTGTTACTGACCGGTACGGGCAAGAGAATTCTGCCAGAATTATAACGCGGTATCAAAATGAAACATGGCACCTATTTTTCGACTAGGAAATGCCGATCCAAAAATAACATTGCTTACTCGTCTTTCCACCTTGCAGTGCTTGTAAAAGCAACCTTGGGGTTGACACAGTGATACCAAATTCTTCCATACATGTTACAGACCCAGCAACCTCATCTCTATCCAGACTCCCCGGCACATCTAACTGTACCACTTGGTCTGCTAAATAAAGCCCAGTCACAGACTTTTGCGGTGCCACCGTATGTTGCTTTCCGCAATATACGAATTGTAATACCCTTGTACCGTATGGAAAATCTAATTTTAGAGTGAACAGGCATATGCGTTCACCGCCGACAATTCCTCAAGTACACTCATTTCTTTGGGGTTTACATAAAGTAGTTTTATGATCTTGGGACCAACATACTTAGTTAATCGCCATGTCAGATCCAGAGGAAAGAGACGCTTTCACCCATCTGCTAGAATATCTTGGAAAGAGTTCTAAGTCCTCCTACGATTTCGAATTATCCTTTCCTAGGGCTATGGGTGGGCTTTCCGGGCTTATCAATCGAGCGAAGGGGTCCCTTGAGAACAAAACGGGAGAGAAGTGGGACTGGTGCCCTCTTTCTCAGCCTGTTCCTGAAGCGAAAGGTGATCATATTATCGTCTGTTTGACACACTTTTGGGACGGGGTAAGTCACTTCTAAGGGTGTATAATACTTTTACTAATGCCGAATCCTCTAGGACCGCTATCCTGAGTACGACCAAGTACTTGCATCTGAAAAAGAGGCTTTCGAGCGTGCTTTTTTGGCCCGATTAAGCGTTTTGGACCGCGAGGCAAAGATTGATACAGAGAGCGACCCGATCACAATCAAGTTGACTAAATCATTATTCGGTGCTCATGTGACCGACTCTTCTGGGGAATGAGAAATGCAGATATTCACCGACGGTAGGAGAAAGACCGCCTGATCAAATTCCTCTGTACCTTAACGTGGGAGGCCGTGCACCGATGCTCATTGTCGATCCCGATCTCCCTCGTCAAATGAATTTCTCGCTTTTCAGAAAGGAACTGGTCCTAAACCTTCTATAAATGTCATCCCAGGATGGAAACGAGGACGTTGGCAGTAATAGACGGCAGGAGTAATTATCACAGTAGCGATGAGAAAATGCAGGAGAGGGTTGAAATTATCAAGCCGGATCTTTGCTATTCTGCGATCCTCGCAGAGAATGCCTATGAAGCGGACGGACAGGAGTACTTTTAAGCGTGCCAGGCTCCGTCAAATTAATACTAGGTCGAGATGACCTGAGCGAGCACCGAGGAGCTGCCATAGAATAGACTACGTTTACCGCCGTCAAGTGCATTGCTGCAGACGATAATTCTTTATAGCCGCTCTTTAGTTGGCTTGCTTCTCACCACCGTAGTAATTGAACAACCTATCGCACTGCTAGAGGCATTTTATTTTCCCCAAAAACGGATATACGGACACCTCCATTCAACCTGTAGGGGAATCCAGCATGTATTTGATCCGCAGAGAAAGAGTCGTGCTGGCTCCAGATAAGTGGTGTATCGTTGGACGTCGGATTTTCATCTATCTTAGTCCTTCTCCTTAATGTTGACCGAGATATAAGCGTTTAAATCCTGTTTCGTGCCCGAGTCTTAGTGTTTCCTATGGGTCAAAGCCATTATCAGCTTCTAAAATTGCAGCTACATAGATATCCGGCGATAAAGACGAGGGAAATGCGTTGAATTTTCCTTACGAACTCCGATTGGATATTCTCAATCTCGCAATCTTGAAGCAAAATACAATCCACATGTTTGTCCAAATGCAATAGCCATGGAGTATGATCTGTTGAATCCAATCGTTTTCGAGGTCAAAGTATCTGCTTAAGCATGCACGAAAACCTTCCGAATTCCGTGGTCAAAACTAAACCTGTTTTGGAATGCCAGCGTACCTACCTGCAATATCACGATAGATCCGATTCCCATATACCCACCAACAACCTCCAATCCCAACGGTCGAAATTAGCGATACGGACCTTCTAATGTTCCTGAACAGATTCGCCGCACTCACTCTCGAGGATCCAGAAAAGACACAACCGAAGCAGAAAGAGTCCCCCGAAACGCAAAAGATCGCCAAGGTGGAGCTGCTCGAGAATGACAGGGAGGAGGAAAGTGACTTTTTCTCGGACATATGTTCTTCAAAGCATTGTGTTTATTGCGGGATCTACAAAACATGCGCGCACCCCCCACACCTGGGACAGAATATAGGGACAAGAAGATTGACCCGATGGATGCTGCTGTTGTGACCGACAATGCCGCGAAGCTTGCGCGAGATCTTGTGCAGGAGGTTGGACCACTCTTGATTCCCATGTGATAGCATCCAGCAAGGGGATTTTGCAGCCTCGTGCCTCAAGCGAGGCATTGCTCCGACACCATCCGTCGAAGATGGTCTGCCATACAACAAGGGTAAAGCAGATGTAGCTGAGTGGTGCTACATTGGTCCTTCTATCATCATTTGCAGATTTCCGTGGGCCAGAAGTTTAATGAAGACAAAATCCTTATGCTGAAACTCCTCCCGGAATTTTGCATGGTCGAACTTCTCGACATTCCCATGCGTGCCTCCGATTCTCTCGCTGAAGGTCTAGTGGAGTATTGCAAACACTAAACTTCCACAGTATGGCATCGTTTTACTTCCCAGGTTCTACTTTACATTCATCATATTATGCGGTACAGCAAACTGAGAGCATCCGAAGACCTTCGGATGTCTTAATTGCGTTTTCAAATAATCACTAAGGACTATTGGGAGGTCTCTAGAACACACCGAGATCCCCCGTTCTGGCCTAAGGAGGGAGAGGAAGAAATAAAACGAGTGCACGAGAGCGTGGAGTTATGAATGATCAATGATTTCTTTTACGTCCTGAAAGTTAACGTGGTCACTGGCAACTCTGGGACAAATTCTTTTCCCAGGTGCACTCTGTAACCCAAACATTTCGTTTGACACGAGAACTGCATCCCCAGTGAGCTGCTTGGCATCACATCTAATTGTGACTTCCCAAAAAGACTGCGGTATGCCCTGTTGGATTCAAAATCGGAAGGTATACGTGTAAGTGGGAGACCGTCGACAAGCAGTTCTCCGGTCAACAGGTTATAATGCACCAGCGTATGTGCGCTGTTTATTGGCTGACGCACGCATCGTGTGACTACCCAATAATCCACATTGGACACCTTTGACCATGTTGATTGTTCACAGTAAGCGGCCCAAGCTTCGTGGATCGCGAAGCCCATTCCTGAATCCTTGTGTTGAACAATGTGGTTTGCTAGGAATGAGGGACTTCGATAACTCAGGACTTGCCAACAGTAGTAGAAATTTGGAACCAGTGAGCCTCTTTCTCTAAATGACTATACTTACATCAGACGATAGATAAAAAAGTTTGGTTGAAGCGAACGATACTTGCATGAATCTCGCCCAACCTTGAAAGCAAAGACTTCTGAGCTATTTGGCGCTCTTTGTGTTCACTTCTTCAATGTTCTGAAAGCTCCTTTTTGGTTCGTTCGTAAATAGCCCTAGAAACAGGTGAAAGATCTAAGTAAAGATACTCCTCCTCGGCTGTACATACAAAACAGGCATTCGCTCAAACTGAATAGAACATGTGGTTTCTCTAAAATGTGGCACAATCAATTAGCTCGGTATAGGCCGTGCACTTCACATAAGTTCTGGTCCATTGAAGCTTGCAGGCTGGTTTTGTAAACGTCTGCTTCTACGTGTCCCAGTACCTCGAGTTCCTTGATCATTCGTATCTAATCGGTTGCTAGAATTATGCTTTTCGATCCTTGAGCTCTTTCTGTCGTCGGAGTTTGCGCCAGCCCTGTTCCTCTTACGAGCTCTCCGACCGCCTTCCGGAAAATGACCATATGTTTCAAGAGGAACAGAACCGTCAAAAACCGAAGGCACAGTAATCAAATTACTGGTACCATTCTCCGTGATCTCTGTTTGGCTCAAACCTAATTCCGTGTCAGGCATCTGTAAACGTCCTTCGTGCTTCCATAACATTCCTGGCAATATGCCCCATTTTTCGTTCCATATGCCTCTTTTGACCCAGGTACGTTTCACGTTATTATAAGCGTTGGTGTTGATGTCCAGAGGGGAAGAAACAAGAACAGTATCATCTGGAGAGCCATTTTGAAGTTGTTCCCGCTCCTTTGATATTTGGTAGATGAACTGATGGAATGGGCGTGATGCCTCGTTTTTGTGCTTCTGTCTTGCTCGTCGCTCAACGCGCTGTTGTATTATGCTGCCGTTATATGGTTGATTGGACCAAGACTCTGCTTTTTCCAGGGGAGAAAACAAGTTGAGCTTGAGTGCTGTGCTACTGTCTGTCTCGGACGCGGATGACATGTCACGTGACTCTTCGTGCATCCACCGCGTTTCAGGCATGTTCTTCCATGGTTCATTCCATATTCCTTGCTTTATCCAGTTCTTCTTCACTGTGTCTCGGGCGAGATTGTGCATATTTGTGCCGTCGGGAACGGCAAACTTTCGATTTTCGATTCCTTCAATTATGCACGCTTCTAGTTCGTCGACCTGGACGTCAAATTGCCGATCGGGTCGTGAAGCTTCATGATCCTTCTCCAGTTGCCATTGCCGACGATCACGGCGTTGCTCCATCTCGGAAGTACCGCAAGGGCTTTGAGATCGTGTTGAATTGTGCGACTGACAAGACGTGTGCGACGGTGCGCGTCTGTCGAAACGCGACCGGTCAATATCGAGTCGCGTGGGATTTTCAACAAAGGTTTTGAGCGCGGTGTGGACAATAGATAGGCCGGATCCGATGCATCCAGGCATTCTGAGAGAATGAATTTTCAGAGAGATCGAACTCAGAAGAATGGAAGTGGGTGAAATAGGGGAAAGGTTGTGACAGAAGCCAGTGCGACGTGAGCGCTAAGCTGCGGCACTAGCGTGCGAATAGTCCTTCAATCAACTAATCGTACCCGTTAGATAGCCGCCTAGTGTTCGACATTTCCAACATTTTGCGAACCCATTTCCATGTGACTGTGTTATCTGAAACGAATGAGTCCCAAACCCCAGGCTCTGTAGCGCTTAAGCATACTTTTTTCTCTTTACGAGCGTCAAGCAACCATGCCTTTAATACTTCTTCTGAGTGTGTCCCTCGGCTTGAAATTGGTATATTGGTCAGTTCCTGCTTCAAAATGTCGTTGCAATCACACCATCGTCGTCTTGCTCTCTTCTCCCTCAGACCTCTAAACGAACGAGCCAAAAAGGTCGTCAGCCATCCTTGGAACCAAGACCTTGCGTCGAAGTCAACCGATGGCACAATTGTTCTCGACGTTGGTTTCCATATACGGTCAAGGTCCCATCGCACCATTGCAACGCTGGGGCGTGGCGATGCGGACATCTTTGTGGAGGGCACCAGCATCGCCAAAGTCCAATGCTCTTTCGAAATCGAGACGAGCGCCAATGTGATTATGCTTTATGACAGATCTCACGGTCAGACAACGCAGGTCTTTGGCGATAATGCTACAAAATTCGAGCATGGGCGCCCTCGTCGAGTAGTGGTTCAAAAAAAGCTGAACACTGGTTTGGGGATGGGCGGCAAAGAGCAAGATCTGGTCCAATTCGAGTTGCTATGGCATCAAGATCCTACTGAAACGGCGGAGAGAGTGAAAGACCGAGAGGATATCACAAGTGACTACGAGGAGAATCCCCGCCTAGCTCGGACAATTGATGAGTTAGCAACGGTTTTACCATCTCAAAGGCAAACCAGAATCCATACTCCAGGCCCTCGACAGCTGATGATGAGATATACAAAGGTTGCCACACTTGGGTCGGGACAATTCGGAGTTGTATATAAGGCCATCGATATCGACACGGGCAGGTTTCTCGCTGTTAAGATATTACAAAAACCTCACCGAGCATCAAAAGAGGCTGAGTGGAGGCAGTCATTGTACTATGCGCTGAAACGCGAAGTCGAGACTTTATCGCACATATGCCACGTTAGTCACCATTCCAAGCCCTCCAGGGCTCGTGCTCTGAACTGACGCTGTCCTAGCCGCACATTATCGATTATATCACATCCCAAGGCTGGGACGGACCATCTGTAGAGATATTCATGGGACTCAAGGATGGCAGCCTTAGATCGTTGGTTCTCAAAGGTGGTTTTCCGTCCCTCACCAGCCTTGCCCACTGCGTCTTCCACCAAATGCTTCAGGCGTTGGATTATCTCGCCGCGGAAGGCATTGTTCATCGAGATGTGAAGCCCGAAAACATTCTTTATTTTTCACTGCCAAGTGCACAATATCAGTTCCAGCTCGGCGATTTCGGTCTGTGCAACAGCACTGTCAGTGCCGTGACTTCTGTTGGGAGTCCATTGTACATGGCCCCCGAGGCGTTTCAGAATCAGGTCCAGACACACAAGATGGATGCCTGGTCCCTTTTTGTAACCATGGCATGGACACTGGACATCGATGGGTTTCGTGAAAGCTCAGAGCAGTTCAAGTGTCTCCAACACGCCCATCAGGCCATCTTGGCCGCAGCATCAAAGATTGAAGTCATTCAAGAAATGGCGAGAGTCGATCCGGACGAGCGCGCCTCCGCGGCACAGATGCTGGTCAAGTGCTTTGAAGGAATAGGACTAACAACTCACCGGAGTCGAGTTCCGCCGATAACTCCAATGAAGCCCTCAACTAGGACCATTGCCGAGACATACACGGGATCCACGGCTCAGGTCACTCATCGACCAACTCAAGGGATACAAAGGCCTCGAAAGCAAGTAAGGGATCCGTTCCATATCCGCAAGTCTAGTAATCCACGGGCTCGAAGGTTGAGACAAGATAATATAGCGGCTACTCCTCAACCAAATATTCTTTCCACAAAGAGGATTGGGGTTCCTTGCAAGGCTGAATCCTCTGAGCTTGTACAGGGGTTTCGTCTGCGGTCGCAAACTCAAGGCTAGAATATGCGACAGTTTCGGGGTAGAGTTTTTCAACAGATGAGCCCAGTATTGTCAATTTAGTTAATCGTTATATATGTTATTATCTTTTCCACGTGCGCGTTTTCACGCACGTCCTAGCTCCGGGACACTAGCCCTGCGGTCAACGCCACCTTTTACCAGCACGTCTCCATTCCAACTGGCCACGGTTCCCCGGAACAAAGTAAATTCGAAATTTTCACCCGGTACCCTACTACTATCTAGAGTACAATTAGACGCGTCTAGCTAAGACCACGTTCTAGGATCGGTATTTCCGCACTGGGCGAATCACAAAACGAACATCCATCGCGCTCGAATGAGCCCCACACCTTCTGCTGGAACGAATCGCAAATGTTGATCGAGCGCTTTGGCTGGTGCAGATTGATGTCTAACGTGTGGCCCACTTTTCGGCCATAGTTGAGGAAACCCTAACTTGGAGTCAACCAGACTCCAGCACCCCGTGGAACAGGGTGGGCCGGAGACCATAGGCTCATAGGACGGACCGGGCCGTCGAATGTGGATACGGTACGATTTGATACTACGATGAAATAAACGCCGGCATACGACGAACCGCGTTGAACTTTAAATGGCATCCTCGACCCAGTTGGTGGCCTACTGATCTTCCTGGCGCTAAGATTTCTTGATAGTCTGGACGCTCCCACATGTACCCCTAGACAGGAACGCCCATCGTGGTAGCATGGCACACCTCCATGGCATAGATGTCAAGTTCTAGGGTGGCCTGCTCGCTTAGGAGTACGTTCGGCACTTGCCTTTCTAGCGGACTAATAAAGAACTCAAGTTTACAACGACAATCCTAGGAGATATAGTGCCAAATCTAAATGGAACTGTGTCTAGCCTCAGTGCCCTCAGTGCGCCGCTGGCCTGGGCGTGACTTGCTATCAAGCAAGGACTGGGCAGAAACACTCAAGGAGCGCGTGAGCTCTGCGAATCTTTCTGTCGTAGACTTCTCAACCTTGATTCCCTGACCCTTGATATCATCCATGCACCGTAGCGCTTGTTCTTCTATCTCCTTCGTACAGTCATTGGCCGTAATGCCTAGATCAACCTTATAGTCGTCGACCTGTTCCTCTAAGTCGGCTTCGTGCGTTCTGTATCGTTCCTCGATCGCTTCATCGCACTCATTTAAAGCACTCTCGACAATATCACCAACAACTTGTGATTTGAGGTGCTCAATCGTCTCAACGACATATTGTTTGAGGCTGTGCTTCAGGCGGCAAGCATCTCGACACTGGCAATTCCGACTGTCTCAGACTCGGATGGCAGATCACTGTCTACATATATTTTTTTGGCCAGCAGATGTCGCCGTCCCGATCGAATTAATACTTGGCATATCTCCTCATCGGAAACTCCAAGGAGCTCCTCTTCAAGGCGCACAAGTCTCTTACGCTTTGTGCGGCCAGGAGAGGAGGCAAGTAAGCCCTAAGCCCTAAGCCCTTTACGAAAAACCGGCTTACACTCGTGGTAATGTGCTAGTACATTCTATTTTCCTCCATTTGTCTGGCCAATGGATGACAAAGCCGACCCTTTAGATGGGTGGCCGATACGAGAAGTTGCCCGAGAGCAGACTATGGCGAAGGAGGACCTATACGGCAAACTTTATATTTACCTTCGGCGAGTTTTCCGAAGATTCTTAGATCGTCTTGCAAGGATAGAGATAAACCTTGAACTGCTTAATAAGGACGCGATCCAGCTTCCTGAAACCCTTCAGGAGAACAAATATGCTAGAATCGAGGTACGTAATCCCGAACATGTGGGCAATATCTGGCAATCTACAGATCGCAATGAAGGACTCAAATACAGTAGTTGATGCGTGGCCCACAAAGCCAATACTAGAACGGGGCCAGCAAGGGTCTCAGGACGAATTCAACATCCTTCTAGGCTCAAACCATAGCTGTGTTGAATGATTTGTGGAATGGAGGCAGACAGAATAGGGTTACAATTTTTCTATCGTTATCATTTGTACTGTATTTCCAAAAGTTTTACGGCACATTGACTTCGAGGGGTAAAAGAAATTTCGAACCTCACTGATTTGATGTTACGTTCAAAGTATTAGCTGATTTCTAGGTCCATACTCCGTTGGCTCCAGCTCGCCACCCGAATTACCTTACCTACCATTTCTGAGATAAATAGAGAGTCTGAGCTGATGTCCTAACTCCTGTTATCTAGCTCTTTCCCCTTGGGCTTCGTTTTAAAACGATGCTTTAATTCTCAACAAGGACAGCAAAAATAACGCGAATCTGTTTTCACGGCTGCTCGATTAGCATTGGGGTCGGGGTGAGGTGATAATGATATTTTAAATGCTAGATTTATATCGGACGCATGACTTCGAGACACGGCTCTATAAGGGTTCAACATTTGACCCGAATCAGCTTCGAGACGATAACTGGGGAACTGTGGCCAAAAGTTTATTGAATGGCCCACTTTACAGCTCTCATTTTAAGATATACGGTTTATGAGATATTCAGGATATTATCGGTGCTTTCGTGTTGAATGGCACCTGCTAGCCACTACCTAGATAGCTCGGGCTTGCTCTTAGTCCTGCATTGGAAATGACTGGACCTGGAGCCAACTTGTTCTGTGAAAGTCAAAAGAGATTGAGTGGTATCTCCGTGGGACACCCGAACTAGGCATTGATTCGCGGGTTTGTGTGATAAATATCAATGCGCACTGGAAAAAATGTAATAAAAAAGCTCGAAAAATTGCCTCGAGCGCCATTTATGCTAGCAGGGGTGTCGGCTCACTATTGGGACAGCGCTTGATAAGGCGTCCAAGGGAAAGGTTGCTCTAGACTATCTTGATGGTGAAAGAGCGGTGTGATAAGTCTAGGATTTGAAACTAAAGCTTTGCAGTGAATGAGCTTCTAACATAACTCTGACACCCCAATCCTACATCTCCTATTATTGCCTACTCCTCGAAAACTTTGATCAAGCCCTGCATCTTACAATGTCAACCGCTGCCAGCTGTCCTATAGTTGCATTGCCTCTTGACAAGGACCTACGATCTCCCAAATTCTAGCCGAACACGGTCTATTCAATTCCTTTCACCAATCCCGATCACCAACTTAACGAGATTTGTTCGAAGTTGAAAAAACAAGGGTTCGAAATCGAAGGCTCATCCGTTGAAGCATACTTGACAAACGCCACCGGAAAGATTCATGTTCAACGACGGGCTGGTCCAGATAATACGTCACGGCCTTATGTGATCGAGGCCGCCGGAGGTGCCACGGAACAACGTGACTAAACACTCCACCTGGCTGCCCTTCGTGAGCTGTTGGAGGAGGCCGGCACTTTGATTTTAGGCGCCACCCCCCTCGAGAAAGGCTATGTCCACTTCTGGGAACACACAGAAAGACATACCCGTAAGAAAAAGTGGCTGATCAAGGTTGCCTTCGTCTACTTCATTTCCAACGATGATGACTGGCTGTTCACCAGTCGTGTCTGGGACAGCGAGTCTAAATCGCCAATGGGGAAATTGCCAATTCTCTTGGATGAAAAAGAGGTCAGCGATGCCTTCTCCATTTCCCAACTCCAAATGGAGGAGATGATCATTTGGGATCCCGAACAGAGAAAGACTACAAAAGATCGCCAGTCTCTCGTTACCCAACGTGAAACATACGCTATACTGGAGGATATCTTCGGATTACAGATTTTGAAGCCCCCTTCAACTGGTACCAATCGAATCGCTTATTTCGAAGAAATATCAGAATCAAGCACGGTTGTATTGAAGCTGGGTGGAGAGGTTATACTTTTGCAAACACTTGAGGAACACCTGCCAGGCCTGGTAGAAAACGTCAGCAAAATGGACTGCGTAAGTGTCTAGAAGAGAAGGTGGCAAGAGATTCGCTGACTGTAACGCAGTCCTCAAGTCTTCCTAAAGCTTATTCTATCTATGGAGAGTCGAAACAGTGATAAGTTGACGCTGTGAGAGAAATCTCGTTGATCACGGAAGATCAAGCAACCCAGCGGGAAAGTAGTTGAGGGAGAAAAATGATGTTTTTAACCCGAGGATGACGCTGGAAAGGTGATATGCGAAGCGATTCTCCTACATTTAAGGGGCAGACAATACTCAGTTTCATCGTCTTTAGAGTTATTGACAATAAATGGCGGGATTGTGGTTTTAACATTTCAAGCTCAATCACTATTCAAGGGCCGCAGTCCTAAATCCAGATTGGAATATAGGGCCTACAACATCATTGCAACTTTTATGGCTCGCAAAATCCAGCAGCCAGTCGAGCTTTGAAAGACTAAGTTAAAAAGCAAAAAATACCTGGACGCATGAGTGATTACACCCATGCAAGGTGTTTGGGTCTCTTGGTCTTCCACAACGTAGATGACTTGATTTATGTAACATGTAAGAAATCAACACGGCTATTTGGGTCTACTGTTGTGGTTAATCACTTGATACAAACGTAGGTAGATAAGCCTACCAATTTCCTTGTTCTCATATTGCTCCTCACCCTGCCTCACGGATGTTATCCGTTTTAGAATGGCTAATTCCGTCTCATCTAAGCTTTTGGCTCGCTGAATCGCATCATGAAAATGTGCGAGGTTCTTTCGCAAGCCTGTAACAAGCCAAGATACCTCGGTGCTCTCTAAACAGCCTGGTTAGACTAAGAAGAAATCGCGACGATAGGAGACCATACCTAATTCTTGAGATTTAATAGATTGTTTCATTTCACCGCCAGGTCTTCTCCATGTGAGCCTTGCGTTCCTCGAGGTTTCCGCTCGCCTAGTGGTAGGTAGAACTATTTCACTGTCTGTTTGTTTTTCTTTCGGGATCCATTATTATTGCATATAATAGCAAAAACGATAGACTCGCCTTGTCTAAGAATATTCAGTTGAAACTTAGGTAGCTCTAGCTGCCACAAAATTTCTTGTCGAGCGGCCCTCTTCAACTGCATAAAACACGAAAAATAATATGTAGTCAACTCAAAGGTGTGGCTATATCGAAGATAATTGGATTTGGATTCGAATAGAGGAGAGTCCATCATGAGTAATATAATATATTGGTCTAATTCTATTAAAGATTGGAATCTCAGGGAAATAGGTTGTGGTTATATATGAATGCAAGGACTAAGCAACTTTTTGTAATAGGCAATAAAAATCTTTGATTGAACGACGGAGGTTACCCGAATGGCGTTCTTGAGCTACAATCCCAAACATTATCGCGGTAAAACTCAATGAGCCAACTGAGAACCCCCGTAGGGGCGGAACGGTATTGATTCATCGTCTCCCATCGTCCCCCATCGTCCCCCATCGTCCCCCATCGTCCCCCATCGTCCCCCATCGTCCCCCATCGTCCCCCATCGTCCCCAATCGTCCCCCATCGTCCCCCATCGTCCCCCATTGTTTCCCCTCGTCCCCGCTTGCTCTATAAGAATGAAGAATATCATATTCATTATTATCGTTTCTATCACTCGCCAGAAGTCAAAGGCTCTTTAACTCATAGCGTGCATGACCCTAGCGGATCCATGTTGAAAGCTTTCTTGGTAATCAGAGATGAAAAGTCAGTTGATATGACTCTGCGCAAGATTTGAAATTCCTGACAAAAATGCAGTCACGAAAGCATCTGGGTTCCTCAAACGCTATTTTTTAGGATTGAAAGGCAAAAAGGTCCGTCTTAATATTTTCACAGAGCTGGGCCAACTAATGTGGCTCTAGTTCACCGTGCTCGATATTGTGTATGGTATAGACATAGAGATACATGATGCGGGTATCACGGATAGTATACCCTGGAGGTGCTTTGTTCAGTATGGCTACGAAGCCATTCGTGCACTACGTGATGCCGGTTGGTCAGACAGCAAAATCGATTCCCTCGAACGCAAGATTTCTGTCAATATTTGTCGAAAGGATGGCAACACAAAGGAAAATTGTCAAAGGACAAAGGTTGAGCAATTTGAAGAAGAAAAGCCGCTTTTGAAAATGGAGACTGCTACCGTGAGGGATGTATTTCTCTCGATAAAAGTCATCCTGTCTGAAAGAGGGGAAACGATCGTTCTCTCTTGGGAGCAGTTCAAAGACAAAAAAGATAGCGGAGCCGCCCCTGCCACTCACAAAGCTGGTTGGCTAGTCCGTGAGTTGGATCAGCTCGGCAGAGACTTCGCAAAGAAGCGTCCGAGCTTGCGGATCGAGGCAAACGAGCACTCCCTTTACGAGAAATGCAGCGTCTTTGTAGAAGACAAAACTAGAAACTACGCCATAATTACTGACGGCAAAACTGAAGGGGCACACTGGGTTTTTCAACCATGGAAACGCCTTTCGCGGATGTAAAAGTGAAAGGGCTGCGTCTCTCTGGGAGATACCGAATGTTAATTATCTTCGGGTTTAGAAGGGAATCCCCTGCACTGCGATTTCTTTACCTCAAACTGCTGGAGCTTATCACTCTACTATTTGATTAAGGAAATGCTAAATGAACACACTGTTGTTTTTGAATGGAAACTGTATTTTTTTTCACGCTACATTTGATAAGCTCTGCTCCACCAGCCGTCTTTTCAATGTATTAGTCGGTGGAAATGCATCATTAGATAGATTATGGCTCCCGTTTACTTCTGTTTAGTATACTATCTCCTAGTGAAACCAAGGCAATCTTAGTCTTTCTCACCGGTATATTAATGAGACGATTCTGAGGTAACTCCATAGACTATGTAACTTCCTAAACATTCTAAACCAAGTCCTCAGTGAGAGATGCAGTTGGAATACTCCGCAGACATCTCAATGCTAGGAACATGCTCACTTGCTGTATTGAAGTAGCTAGCCAATCTTCAATAAAAAGAGATTCATGGATAGCGTTTCACATATAAGATGTAGGTTTCGAACGGTACGTTAGGTTCGGTTCGGCGTTCACGAGACCTCCGCTGCTCCTGGCATCAGCACAGCCAGAAAGACGTGCAGTCTTACGGATCAATATACCAATATTTAGACCGGGGCATGAGCCGGCCCAATTGGCCTCCAAAATTGTACAATTAAGATGCAAGATATCCAAACTTACTAACGTAATATCTATACTTCAATTGCTGCCGCTTAACTATAACAAATTACAGGATATGTTACAGATTGCTCAATGTCCTTTTTCACAGAAATATATTCATGCGATAATAGGGCTTTTGTACATTTTGCTGATTTTTTAGAAGTCCTTTGAAATCTTGATTTTTTTCTATCTATTTGCTCATAGTAAATAATAGAGAATAGTCTAAGCTAATAGAAAGCTCCTATTGTACAGATCACATTCGCACTCCTAAGCCGAAAATCAATAAAATATTTTTAGTAGAAGCCTTTGCTATTTATCTCATCATTCTCTCACTTTAAATCACTTCACTTCACTTGTTAAACTACTTATGTCTTAATTATTTGATATCATTTAGTATCCCTCATGGAGAGTGGAGAGTTCAATGATTCGTCTTACCTTTTATCCGATAGTCTCGTGCCCTAGCACTAGGCAAGTCAAATAACTTAGCCTCACCTCTTTCTATCCAACTCTCCCTTAAAAGCACAAAGTTCCAACAAACACCTACGTTTTATTCGTAGATATCAATAAAGAAGAATTTGTGGACTGGTGGATACAAACACAAAGCAAGCAGCCTTCGGATATCCAAAAATGTGGGATCGAAAGGGATACCGTGCAGATATCTGGAGCAACTTCGATCAGGTTGCGCATTATATTTCTGGGCAACTAAAGGTGATGTTCAAGCACTGTAGGGAGATTTTGAATCATCCGGACTCTATCATTCCTTCTACATCTGGGAAACAAGGAACAATTGCTCTTCGGCGGCATCTTACACGAGCAACCTGTAAGAGAAGGGAAAACGATCAAGTCTTCAACGCCTTCTACAGCATCAGATAACTAGTTATTGAGAAGAAGCTAATTCCTTATTTTAACTAGGCAAATACCGCTCCAGAACTTTTTAATGAGGCTCGTGGGGAACACCAAATAGTCGCCTCAATCACAAACCTACGACTTCCTTTTGCGACTATCGAGCATCCTGAATTCCTAATTCTTATACAGATAGCTCAACAAGCACCTTCAACCCTAATTCTTCTATCTCGAAGAACCATGCAACGCCGAATTCTGTCAAAAGCTCAAGACCTGCAGAAAGAGATACTTCAGAAGCTTCCACCAAAGGTAAAGCTCTCATTAAGTCTAGATTGCTGGACTTCCCCATTTCAATAGGCTTTTATGGCAGTCTCTGGATATTTTATTAACACTGAGTGGGAGTATCGAGAGGTTTTAATTGGCTTTGGACCTCTCCCACATACATACCAGGGCTTCATTAAGCACAGTGATACTAGAGTTACTCGAGAAGGGCGGGATTAAAGAGCGAGTATTAGCGGGTACGACCGATAATGCGTCGAATAACTCGACTCTTATCTCAACCCTCAAGGATTCTATCCTTTCTCCTGGTCTAGGCTCTAATATTATTATTATCCGAATTCCACACCTCGCTCCTGTGATCCAGCTTAGCATTTAGCAGCTCCTTGATCAGATGAAGGCAAATACCATAAATGAGAATATCGACTTCGTTTTATCTGAAAAACGCGCAAGAATAGCTGGCCAAACAATGAGTGAATATAGTATGACAAATACGCTAAAAAATGTTTGATTCAATGATTATTCGCCCTATTTATCGGAATTCTACTAATGATCTCTAATCTAGATCCAAAACCTCGCTATCTTCATTAATGCAAGTCCTATACGTCGCGATTGCTTCCAAAACCTTCAGAAAAAAGCGCCTCGCTTAGTATCAATCCAAGACGTTAGGACACACTGGGATTCAGCAATCTTAATGCTCCGCCGAGCTAGGAAACTACATATTTTCTTTGAAAAAAAGAGGATTAGGAGGGAAAAACAGATCCCTGAGGCTCTAAGATCAGCTGAAAGCAAGCTGAAGGAGTATTATACGATGAATGACTTCCAAGATCTCGGCGATATATATGCAATTGGGACTCTTTTAGCACCGCAGTATAAGCTTGAGTTTTGTTCAAGGCCCTGATTGGCAAGATGAAGAAAAGGACCATGCCGCTCAATGGAAGAAAGGTCTTGAGGATCAGATGAAGGAGTATCAGGAGAAGCTCTACGAATCTATTTCACAAACCGAAGGTCTACAACACGCAAAGCCTGTGACGCATGGGCACATGGATGCTGGCTGAGGCCTGAAGAAGCAGGCAGATCGTGGGGACGTAGATGATTGGGTAGAGGGGGTAGATAGCAAGACCCAGTCCTCTTTCTCTCTACTATTTCTCCTCAGCTTAGTGTCTTTGACGAATGGACTTCTTTTGAAACTGCCAACTCATAAAGCCCACGAATGAGGTTGATCTACTACTCGCTGGAAAGCCTCCTGCAATAGTTTCTGAGCTTGCTAAGTATCTAAACGGTGGTAAGTGATTTATTCCAGATTTCAAATGACTATTAACACGTCCCTGATTTTCTAATCATTATATCTAATCACTTTTCTACATAGACATAGTGGCAATGCCACCTCGAGAATTAGAGAGGGATCATCAACATACGTTCCCGGTACTCAAAAGGATCGCTTGTAATATACTTTCCGTTCTAGCTGGAGGCGCAGGCGTTGAGCGTTTGTTTAACTCGGCACGTGATATTTGCCATTTTCGCCGAGGCTCATTAAATTCAATTACTATCATGGATTTAATGCTTCTTTTGTGTGGGACTCGATTCAATTGAGAATATGAGCTTGCTTTCAACCGGAAATACGCCATTGAAGATGAGATAAAACTTCAAGAAGAAGAGGTAAATGAGCGTACGCGGGATGAGATGATAGAAATAAGCGATGATGACCAAGGCCCATCGCAGCAGAGTTTTAAGAGGCAAAGGAGTGATTTATCCGATAATGACACTGAGCAAGAGCTTGATGATAAGCCCAAATTACCTGAGCAAAGTACTCAGCGCGCTTCAGGTAGAGTTCGAAAGGGCTCAAGACTATGAGACGAATATGAAGCCTAGTCAATATATCGATCTCAAAATACTCCTTTTCAACTTAATATCCTTTAGTTTGATTTAATCTCCGAGGACAACCCTCATAGTTCTTGTGACGAAGGCGATATAGCGTCGTTTAACGTGCATAAATTATGAAAGATAAAACGTGGACTTATGCACGCTAGTTTAGGAATCGCTACATGCGTCCAGGTAACGTGATTCACTACCGAGCTGCGCACCCCACCTAAAAACGCGTCAATTGATTGGACCTCTCTTCTTCAATCAACCACCATGCCACCAATTCGTACTCAATCCTCTCAAAAAAGTACTGAGCAAGAGGGCATGATTTTCTTAGCTATTCGGGCTATCAGCAAATTGCCTCTATACGCCAAGCAGCGCTCGTTTATAACGTCCCGAAGTCTACTCTCTACGCGCGTCTCCATAGAACCACAAATTGCGCTAAAACTCGCGCAAATGGCTTGATATTGACTGCAATTGAAGAGGATTCGCTCCAAAAATGGATTGTCTCTATGGATTCTCATGGAGCAGCCCCTCGCCCTCTACTGTACGAGAAATGGCAGATTTACTTCTTAAAACGCGTGATCTACCTATCCTCTTTCAGTCGGTCAAAATTGGGTTACAAAATTCGTTAAACGGCATCCTCTCCTTACATCCCGATTTTCGAGACTTTACGATTATCAGCGAGCTAAATACGAAGACCCGAAGATAATGTCTGAATGGTTTTCGCTCGTTTAAAAAACGGGTTTAACGTACGGCATTGATCCGGACGATATCTATAACTTCGACGAGACCGGTTTCGCAATGGGCGTGATTTCAACTACGAAGGTTATTACGAGATGTGAATACTACGGTCGGCGAGTACTTTTACAGCCTAGAAATCGTGCGTGGGTTACTACAATTGAGTGTATAAGTTTAACGGGGTGGGCACTTCCTCCGTGCGTGATTTTCAAAGGCAAAGTCTTTATTGAATCTTGGTTCGACGGCCTTCCGAATGACTGGAAATTTGAGGTTAGTCCAGATAGATAGACGTCCGATAAAATCGGACTTCGATGGCTTAAAAAGCTCTTTATTCCGTCTACTTCTTCGCGTACGAAGGGGATGTATAGAGTATTAATACTTGACGGCCACGGGAGTTGTTCAACCCCGGAGTTCGATCAAATTTGCGATCAAAACAATATTATCGCAATTTGTATGCCTTCTTACTCGTCTCACTTTTAACAGCCTCTCGATATTGGCTGTTTTGCGGTATTAAAGCGCGCGTACGGCCGGCTTATTGGGTCAAAAATGCGGGTTGGAAAAAATCATATTGACAAACTTGACTTCCTCGAAGCCTGTCCGACTGCACGAATTGAGGCATTTAAATTAGAGAATATAATGAATAGCTTTGCGGCCGCTGGTTTAGTGCCTTATAACCCTGATCGAGTACTCTCGAAGCCTGATATTGGCGTCGTATGCCGACACCTTCCTCAAGCCGGGGTAGCGACTGGGAGTTCAGAACGCCCTCGAATTATGTCGAATTATAAGAACAAGTTTCTTCGATAAAAGCCTTGGTAAAACAGCGCTCAAAAAGCCCTCCGAGCCCGCTGCCAAATCACAATGCAATCAGTGGCTATTCTCGAGAAAGAGACAAGCGATTTGCGCGCTGAAAGCGAGAAAAAGAAGCGAAAAAAAGGCTAGATCTACAAGGCAAATACCTTCAGAGGAAGGCCTTCTAGGCCAAGAAGCCTCTAGATTAATGCTACAGCTAGAGCAAGTAGGTTTAGCACCGATACCTAGCGAGGTAGGCGATATTCCGGCACCTTCTCAGCCACGTACGAGGGCCCTACCGAGGTGCTCTGGATGCGGAATTCAAGGTCATAAGACAAATGCCTGTCCTAATAGGCCTCGAGTTTAGCTTATTGAATTTAATGGCGTTTTGGTAGAGATAAGTGCATTTGAAATTGATAGATTAGGATTCCTGGGCCGCTCGCTTGGGAATTACGTGAAAGCTCAGCGAGGGTTGACAAATCTTTTGGAAAAGGGGGGCATTAGTCACCCTTGCTGAGCTTTTCACAACCCTCGATGAGCTTGGTGCCCAGCTTTTGGCGAGCTTGTTGGCGCAAAGGCGCCATTTAGGTCTTGAGTGTAGTTTGTACAGCGACGACACAGTAGTCGCTGAAAAATTGGAGATTGCCGAATTAGATGAAAACAATTTCCGACTGCAAAAGCTGATGATTGCCTTAAATTTGACGGGCGGCTTTAATAACTCGGGAAGAGGTGCAGGACCGTGCGCGAACAGACTAAAGAATCGATCGCGCGCCACCCCGTCGGTCGTCCCCCATCGTCTCCCATCGTCTCCCATCGTCTCCCATCGTCTCCCATCGTCTCCCATCGTCCCCCATCGTCTCCCATCGTCCCCCATCGTCCCCCATCGTCTCCCATCGTCCCCCATCGTCTCCTATCAACCCGTACAATAAGCCTACAGAAAAATGTCTCTACCTCAAACAGCGATTGCTATGGCCAAAGTTGAAAAGTGGGCTTTACAACTGAAGAATAATCGAAAGCTTAGCCCAAATCACAAGAAGAGACTGTTGGCTGATATAGAGCTCTTGAAAGGGACGAGATCTGGGGCATCCAAGTCAATGAGAGAGAAACTGAAGATATACAAGGACTTCTTGATCAAATGCGTCAAGGAACCTGGCCGTGAAATTATGGTGCTTTGTTCGCTGGCACTCGGCGTCAGCGGCATATGCAATCTAAGCCAAACGTACCACCAGCCAGATCTATTGGAATACTTGATCAAGATGGACTTGAAGAACGATAATCTCTCTGCCATGGTTCAAGAGTACGATGTTCCGACCAAAGACTTCTTTGAAGACCGCCCTCAGGACGCTGAATACCGGCGTCAATGTGGTCCGAGCTCCCATATGACGAAATACCTGCAACAGCTATTAGAACAAGTGAACATAAATGTCGAATTGGTCTTCCCTTTCGATCCGGAATGCGACGCCCATATGACCTTGAAATTGGATATAAGTCAAAATGCAGCTTGGGGGACCTTACCTTACTTCTTTCAATCCGACTCTGAGCCCTCGATCGTCAACTGTACTTCCCCCGAGAATACCCCCACTTGGTCTCCTGCTGATACATCGATACCGATAGTAGGACCATAGTACACCTTGAAACTCTTCTCGTCTCCTTTTTTTATGATTCGCACTTGTCCCTTGTCGGAGATAGATATTTTGCCTGGATTATTCATGTCATGTTGATAACCGGGCGCAAGTATTGTAGGGTTGGCTGCAGTTGCGATCTGAAATCAAAGCTTAATACGGAGAATAAGGGCGAAACAACAGGATTGCAAACATTTTCCGGCATTTTGTACTTAGCTGTAAGGTAAGAGAAGAGTTCACAAAATATAGAATAAGTTTCTGCCAGCCTTCACATTTTCATTCACGGCAGACACGCACGTGGTCGTTGGTGCCCAAGTGGGGGGATTTTCGAGATACTGATCACGTGCATGAATACACGCTCCGTTCGATATGAATGATCGTGACAAGGATGAAAACGATTAAGGGCAGCAAAGTAATTGATGAAATTCCATATCCGTATGCACGAGAGAAAGAATTAAGAACGCAAAGGAGCAGGAAGACCCTCGGGTCTCTCACGTGACACTGGATCGTCAAAAACTTTGCAGTTTCGCCCCATATGGTTATCGCACAGAAACTTCACGCTAATGCGCCAAGATAAGTTGCAACTTACCTGGAATCTCGTATATAGTATTAAAAATCTTATGGAAGAGACTAATACGCATTGAGTTGTGGGATTCTGGGATAAAGGATGCAACTCTTTTCTTGCCAAAAACCTTTTCTTGAAATATCAAGCCAATCAGAGGTCCTACGACCTCGTGAATTAGTCCATCGTAATCGTAACTTCAAGTGCTACGGCCTGATACCCTTGTCATAGGGGTTATGGAAGCGATGGTTGGGACAGGTGCGAACGCACAGATTTGGCCCCCGGGCAGGAGAGGAACAAACACCGAAAAGCACGGCCCTGGCAAATCCACGACGCGTCAAGAAATCCTGGTCAAGAGCGCATCGGCGCCAAGTGCAGCAGGTCGTTGAAAATACAAGATCCCCACACGCCCGGGACTCTTGTGGAAATAGTAGAGCAAAAGGCCGGGGCATTTTGGACTGCCTTCTTCCCAAAACCACCGCCAGCCGATCTATCCGACAGACTCATTCCGGTACCCACAGCAGACCGACTTTCCAGCAGTCATCGCTCAAGAGATACAGGAGGCGGTGCAAGGAGCGAAAGCAGGGAAAACACCTGGAGAAGACGGCATACTGAACTCTCTCTGGCATAAGCTCATCGAGATACCGGTGCTTCTGGAAACGGTGGTTCAGTTATTCAATGCATGCATAAACACAGGCTACAACCCGTCACATTTTCAGCGCTCGATAACGGTGGTGCTTCGGAAGCAAGGCAAAAGTGACTACCAGCTCGCAAAATCCTACAGACCTGTCGTGTGGTTGAACACGCTCGGGAAGTCCTGGAGGCAGTTGCCGCGCGACGGATCAGCTACGCAGCAGAAATCCACGGTTTACTCCCACAAACGCATCTAGGCGGGCGAAAGGGCGTATCCACCGACCATGCGATCCACACTATCATTGATGGAAGCAAGACCGCATGGGGAGAGGGCTTTTTTGTGGTATCTCTGCTGATGTTGGACGTGTCCGGAGCGTACGACAATGTCGCCCATGAACGTCTATTACACAACCTCAAGAAACGACGCATGGGACACTTCGTTCCCTGGGTGAGAGCCTTCTTGACCGATCGAAGCACAAGGATTCGCATGCCCGAAGGCATGTCCGATCGAATAAATACACCTACGGGCATCCCTCAAGGGTCGCCGATCTCACCGATTCTCTATCTCATCTACAACGCAGACCTCGTTGAGAACTGCGGTACCGGTGTGACTAGCAGCAGGTGGCTCGACGATGTTTGCTTCCTAAACCCAGGAGACGGTGAACGCGAAACCGTCAAGAAACTCAGAGCGGTATGTCGCAAAGCCGACCAATGGGCCGAGAAACATGCGTCAGTTTTTGATCAGAAGAAATATGCACTGGTGCATTTTATGAACACCAGAGAAGTCGACCCACGATGCACGTCGCTTCCTCTGCGAGGTCACACGGTGACAGCGACGAGGACAGCTGAGCGATACCTCGGCTACTGGCTGGATCCAGGCCTGGAATTCCACCATCACTGCGAGAAAGCGCTGACTGAGGCCGGCGTCTCTCTCCACGCACTACGCAGCCTGGCAGGTTCAACGAGGGGAGCCTCACTCTATGCAACGCGAAAGATCTACCAAGCAGTGATCATCCCGCAGATGCTCTTTGGGGTTTGCGTGTGTTATCAACCTATGCTCATCAGCAAATACAAGGCACGCCAAATCAGCTTGCCATTCACGGCAGTACAAAAACAAGCAGCAAGCCTCATCAGCGGAGCTTTCAGAACCACGGCAGCAGAGGCACTGAACGTAGAACTTCACCTACCGCCTATCTCTGTTCACATGAACCGATTGGTAAAGGAAACTGCTCTGCGACTACGGAGAGGACCGCTTTTTGCGGTCCCGCCCACGATGTTACGACCCTGGACACCATATGAGAGAGACTGGGCTGGATGGACATCTATGGAGGCGCAGGCCTGGAAGACGGACGGATGCCTGACGACTCCCCTGGGAACTTTGAAGAGGAACTGGGAGAGTCGAAAGGGATTCGTTCTGGCACCATGGCAAGCCCCACCAGACGTATCGAGGACAGAGAAATTGCGGTCAACCATCATGACCGGATTTTGAAGAAAGACCCAAGAGAAAGACCACTGATTCTGTGAACTGATGAGAGCGGAATTGATGGAAGGATCGGAGCGGCAGCAGTCGTCGACCTAGAGGACCAACATGCCCATAATCAAATGGGAGGCGACATGCCGTCCACCGTATATGCAGCAAAACTTCGAGCCATCGAGATGGCACTTGAGATGGTTCTGGGCAGCAGCACATATCCATAGGCTAAGCAGGCGCAGAATGGGTTGATCATCTTCGTAGACAGTCAAGCAGCGCTGAAGGCGCTTAGGCGACCATAGATGCCATCGGGGCAGATCTATCTAGCAGGATGCCTCGACCTGAACCAGCAGCTTGTGGGAGGAGGTGTCCGAATAGAACTCAGATGGATTTTTGCGCACCGAGATTGCGGGTCAACACGCAAAAGAAGCAGCGCAAGAACCATGCGGCCCACAGAAACCTCTCAACCGAGATATAGCCGTGTCACGAAAACCCCCCACCCTCTCGGGTAGGGGGTATTCCACGGCCTATTGCAATTAACATCCAAAAGCAAGTTCTTCATTTCTTCAACTTCTAGCTCATTCTTTCAGCCCAAAATCATAGAAATAGAGCCCGTCAATAAGCCTACAAGAATATTCATCCTCAGGTTCATCATAATCCTCAATTTCAGCCATTTCCTCCAATTCCTTATTGGCTAAATCTGAGGCCAATTTCTCTGCGTCCTTCCGCCATGTACGGAGCTTCGACTCCTTTTCTTTTTCATTCCTACGCTGATCAATGGCAACAAATCAGTGTGATCATTGCACGAGAGTTCTAGCGGGCGCTAAGCTCTTTCTGCTCTAGCTCGCCCCTTTTTTTTACTAGGGTTTGATGGTCCCAGCGGGAAAACCTGGAAAATAGTTTAAGGGCCCACTTTTTCTTCCCTATAGTTAACTTCAAAGCCCTAATCCGAGTCATGTCCCGCCCCTATGGGATAGGGCAGCCTAACAACGGGAGCGACAATAGGCCTTGGTAAGCCGTGATAAGGCTCTAAGTTCTTATCAGAAAGTGGATCATCCTAGAAGTATATATTCGAATATACAGTTGTCGTATACTGCATATCGCCTTGCGAGTTGGATCACAGGTCACGTGATATATATACATCTATAAGAGTGGCTGCCAAGCAGCCACTCCGCTAGGCAGTAGGGAGATGATCTGCTGCAGCTACTAATACTACTACTGTATTTGGCTTATGTGTGGCTAATTAACCACGGTCGCACCTCTACTTCAAACCCCTCACCAAAACATTTACCAATTTTCAATTGAATATTGCTCCACTCATACGGGGTGATTCACTCTAAATTGAAACCATATAGATTCTAATACAAGAAATATAACTTTACATAATTAAGGCATAATTAGAAACCAAATACAAAAACGACTGAGAGTGTGGAAATCAACTCGACTGAGGGTGGTCCGACTTTAATTCCCCCATACGAAAAAGCAAAACCCTAATCCGACTGAGGGCTTAGTCGGCCCTCCCCCATGGGATAGGATGGAGAAAAAAAGCAACAGGGTCCCTAGGGTATGTATTGTAAACGTTGCATCGTTAGTTGTATGAAGTCAATTTGACTTACCAAGGAACTTCTAGTTTAAGCATAAGGCCGCACAAGTAAAAGTTTCAGCTCCCAGCCAGAGCGTAGAGAAGTAGACCGCAACCCCAACCCTCATTTTGGCGGTGGTGGAGGAACGCCAGGCTTCTTTACACCTGTTGTGTCGTACGTACCTCGTCCCATATCGCAGGGTGGCAAGGCACAAAGATTTCGAAAAGTATAGTACGAAAACGAATGAAGATAGATATGACTATTGCGATAATAGGGCACAGGTTTCTGTCTGTAAATGGACAAATCACAGATTATTGGGTGAAAGCTCACCTCTTAAATATTATTTCATTATTAGATTTCCTGTGGCCTAATACTGCTCGCTTCCTCTTCTTGACTAACAATCCATGCTAAGGGGAGACGATGGGAGACGATGGGGGACGATGGGGGACGATGGGGGACGATGGGGGACGATGGGGGACGATGGAATCGTGGGCTCCGATTGAATGAGGAGGCACACGGCCTGTGAAGAATTTTGCGAGCTGGACCCTCATTATTCAGCACGTAAAGCTATTAAATTCACCGATAGCGCCCAAGACCCTGGAAATGTTGATATTTATGCAAACCGGGGTGTTTGTGATAGCCCACGGTCGATGCAGTTCATAATGGTGCCAGTGGATGATCTCTTTTTAAGAGTCGATTCGGCAAACGAGAACGTATCTACTTTATCTTTGTAGTGTTTTCTACCTTGCATGGGGAATTATATCATTTGGTTCTCTTTAAATGGTTGTCAAACATCTGAATTAAGTGATCCGAGATTTAATGTGGTTAGTCCAATGATAGAGCTTTCGCCAATGAAAACCTTTTTCCTACTTGACAGAGCAAGGTGATACACTCCAGATATAAAATGACGCATATCTAGCCGGGTATTAAGCGGAATCAGAAAGAAATGATGAAACCGATTTTGAAAATGGCATGCACCGGCTTTGTAAGGTTCTATACCAAATCTACATCAAATACCGCAACAAAACATCTCAATCAACCATGTCAAAAGGGCTGCAAAGGAAAATGCCACTGCTAGCCAGGCTGCAGCGATCGAATGCGCCCCAAAACTTGCATCAGCTCCTAAAGGGTGAAGAACACTTTGTATGGCACCTATAATCAACCCGTATATTATCGTGACCCCAATAGACGCACCGGTTACAAAAATCGTTGCAAACTTAATCACAGTCAGACTTTTTCATCTAGAATCAACCTACCACGGTCTTACCAGTGAAGAAATGATAAGCAATAGTTTTGCTCGAGAGAAAAACATAGTGGTTACACCGAATATGAGAGCGAGAAATGTGAAAACAAATCCCGTGATATAGGCTGAAATAGACCACCGAGAAACATTATGATATCCAGCAAGAACCTTGTTATTGTCATCGGGTAGTAACTTATCGATGTCTGAGGAGACTGACCCACAAATGCTTAATAAGTCAAATGAGAAAGAGGTACTGGGCTGCGCGCAATTTGAATATGATGATTTTCCCTTTTGTGCTTGGCAATAACCCCAAAGCCCAACATAATCACAGTCTGGAAGGTGTAATAGACAGCAATTAGTCGATCTGGCGCCATTCCTATTCACTAGGAAGCATCTCCTCCCAGTCATACTCCGTACAGAACAGAGTAAAGGTGCTGCGTAGTCGCTTTGCCCGGCGAAGCATCAAGTATGTCGAATTCCACCGAGTCCTTACATCTTGGATTGGAACAATCTTCATATCGATTATCTGAAGTCCACAGAATGTCTCTCGGCGCCGAGGACTCGCATTAATATAAGCTGCAAGAAAGCGGATCTTGTTTAATGTGGAAGAGATCTGATATGAATCAGACCGTTGCTTTTCTATAACTTCAGCAGGGTATATCTTCCCAAACACCCATGTACTATACTCTATATGAAACTTAGAATCTTGAGGAATTATGGACCAGCTCATGGCGACCAGGCTCGAGAAAGCCAAGTGCATCAGCCCGGCGAGATTTACCATAGCGCAACGGTCCACTGTTCGAACGTCTTCACATAGCCTCGCTGCGCAAGCGCGGAAAGTTGGGTATTAGTCGCATTCTTAGGAGAGAACCGACGACATGCCAAACTCTCTCATCGTGACAGCCACAAAGACAGTCCACCAGCAGACGCGTCTAGCTAAGACCACCTTCTGGGATCGATATTACCGGTGGAGTGAGAGACGTCCGTACTAGGCGAGTCATAAATCACAGGACGAGATGTGGCCCGAAACGAAGGTCCATCGCGCTCGAATGAGCCCCACACCTCCTGCTGGATCGGATCACCGATTCATGTCTGGCGTGTGGCCCACTTTCCTTACCATATTTGAGGAAACCCTAACCTGCACCATGGGACGGACCGGGCCCGTCGTGTGTGGATAAAATGTTGCACGAGTTGGTACTATGATGAATTGAACGCCAATCGTGTAGGTGTTGCCCCCCGGGATGAATGTCAGGTTTGGGGTGGCCTGCTCGTTTAAAGATACGTTAGTCTCCTACCTTTCTAACGAATTATCAAGAAATCTAAAAGCATGACAATCCTAAGGGATATAAGCTTAGTACCCAAGTTAAATGGAACTGCATCTGGCATTAGTGCCCGGCTGGCGAGGGCTTGACTTGCTATCGTGTGAGGACCCGGCAGGAAAATTAGACCAGCGCTCGAGCGTTATACGTCCGATCTTCGATAAAGGCTACGATAATATCCCAAGTTTCCTGGTAGGTAGGGGTAAAGAGATAGCTATTCTTCTTCAATCACGCTCCAGATCTAGGTAGGTTCTCACAGATTACTCAAGACTGTGCTGATGCTGATTTTCGGCAAAATAAATCTTTCTCTATTCACTTGATCACCGATAGGCTGTGGCTTTGGGGATTAAGAGAATGGCTGATGACGAACTATTCACCAGTGTCATGTCGGAACACCGCAAAGCATTTATGGCTCAATACTTCCACCTCTCGGAATATGAACAAGATCAAATCTGGACTACCTGGCTGAGTAACTCCTCAATTGCACCCTAGCTCACCTCTACCACGGAGAGGTGTGTCACTTTCGGCACAAGACGTTTACCTGCATACGGCCATCACGAGCCCCCAAAGACAGCAGATTTCGGGCTTTCTTTGGAACCAGCCAGCCGGTGCAGTTATTGACCAAAGCCAATCTGTCGTACCAGTCTGGACCCAAAGTTGCCTCGACCATGCCGACGAATGTATGCCTTCGGAGGATGTACGGTATCTAGACAACTCCCCTGGTCAATCACTCGGCTAGGCCGCGATTTTGGGGCAGGCAAATGATGACTGGACTAGATTATTCCCATTCGCGCAACACCTGGTTTAAGACAACTCTGCTCCGACTAGGCCCCAGCAGTTATAGCGGAGAAAGGCGCGCTGGAACTTCAACGACACAAGCAAAGACTACAGCGGAGGCTTGGTAAAAACAATGAGCTCGTCGTGGTTTCGTATTTAGCTCTGTCCCAAAGACGGGTGGTCTTAGATATGCTGCGGTTATTCACTCTCTATGTCTGTGGTCCTGGTCTCAACGGTGGTAATTGCAGGGAGTGCGTAGGTTAGATGACCGACAAGGAGCTGCATATTTTCAAAATAGGGCACACTCCGATCATTTGCGATATTGGCGCCACTTTCCTTCGTGATTGTCGCGCTATCAATCCGCTCATCTTCGCACTGGCTTCTGAAGTATTGGTCAGTGTGGTGTTTCGGAAAAGCATGATCAGGACAGGCACTATACCCTCCTACTATACTAATCTCACAAAATCCAAGAAGCCACTCGATCTGGCTGGTATAAGGTGTTCTGACCGTCATGGATGAGACAATCCGCGAGGGTGTCCAGGGGCAAACTTTGGCAGAATATCAGCGCACATTCCTTCTTGTCTTTCTTCTCATATGTGAGTCAGGGGCAGGGGAGCTTGAGATTGTTGAGCCAATTTACCACGACGCATACGTGTTAATAAGAATACCGTCTGGAAGGAGTAACCAACAATGACGGTTTGCTAAAATAAATTGGTTTTCTTATGAGATGGGGAAATTGATCGAGTAGTGAGCACCATTTTTTTTTAATTTCTCAAAAGGCGAACATATACTGACTATTCTATGACACTGCAAAGCCGAAGATCATGGTTGTGGGTCACAATTTTTGAAAGTCAAGCTAGAAATCCTATGATCTAGTCGATGAACCTGCCAAGTATTAGTACCTGCGCGATCAACCATCCATCCATTAACCAAAATAAGGCGGTCTACATACCAAGCAGCCAAAGCAATCAACAAATAACTCATCATCAGCAAGACACCCTTAAGCCAATGAGACTTGCCATTCATAATGAGGGAGATAACGAGCAGGACAGCGAAAAAAAAGATGACCATCTGGAGAATTTCGAAATTGAGAGTCTGTTTGTTATTAACATCGATTCCAGCGGAAGTATAAAGAAGACGAGGGGTCCAGGGCGAATACGAACCATGTCTTCAATTCCCAAGATCCACCCAATAATAACGATCAAAGGCAGGACTAGCAGCGCTATTTGAATACTGGAGCCCACCGCAACACCGATCGCAAGGTCCATTTTGTCCTTGCAGGCGACTGTCACGGCCGTAGCATGCTCTGCTGCGTTACCGACCATAGGAAGAAGAATTAGCCCAACAAATCGCTCGCCGATGCTACCTGTGGCCGTGAGTGCATCGATGGAGTTGACCATGAACTCCGCACAGATAGCTACAAGTGTCGTTGAAACACCGAGCGTAAGTAATGCGACCAGGATTGTCAGCTGCGGCTGCTCGGGCTCATTTTCCAGATCCTGCGAAATAATTTCTCCCGTATGTCCACCCATGAGTGCGGACATTTTAGCCATTTGAAAGATACCGCGCTTTGTGTGGCCTTGGCTAACTCCAGGGTGGCGTCTTTGAACTTTGGGGCTAGGGCGGTTGTATATGTCGACATGGGATTTCAGTTGGAAGAATAGATAGCAACCGTAAGCAATGAGGAGAAGGATGCTGATTCCTCGGGAAAGAGCGACAGTTCTGTCCACGTCGGCAGTGGTAGAAATTTTGTGAACGACAGTGGGCATGATCAAGCTACCCGCAGCAAACACTAGAAAACTGGCCGCGGTCTGCGCAACGGTGACGTTGAAATGCTGTTCGACACGATCGATACCACCAAAGAAAAAACAAATCCCCATCACGAGCAGCAAGTTCGAGAGCATGCTTCCAATGAGCGAAGTCTGCACGATCAGAACATTCTTCTTGACCAACGCGATGATTGCAACGATCAATTCCACCGCATTTCCAAAGGAGGCATTCAACAATCCGCCAATCGTCTCACCCGTCCGCAGAGCAATCTCTTCCGTCGCATAACTCAGCATTGCAGCTAACGGGATAATTGCAATGAAGTTCACGACAAAGATGGCAATTGGATTGGCCTGGACAACGTGCAACGCGATACCGACCGGTGCAGCGAGGATAAGCACATTAACCCAGGAATTTAAGATTGTAGCCCGCAACTGACTCCCAACAGTAAATGTAGATAGTTCGCAAGACTGATGGTTCTCCACGGATTCGACATCTGTGAAACGAGTGCTCGAGGCTTCAGGGAGGTGGGTTTCTGCTATAGTGTGAGTATCAGCATCATTTTCACAAAAGGGGAGATACGCTAGTGGACTAACGCATCATGGTAGCTAATTCAGGAGTTGCTGTTAAGATAGAAAAGTCTGGAGGGTTTCATTGAGTATTTAAGACCTATTCAGTGGCGCAGCAAAGCTCAACTGCCAGTCACGCTGGGAGGCAGCAGTCTGTTCGGGCCTCTGCGCCTCTTTTCTTCGTCAAAGCTGCCTAGGGACGTGGACAGGGATAGTGACTTGAATCTTATCTAGCTTATCATAGGCCTATACAGAGCCCTAGGGTTACAAGTGAGCAGAAATCTTGTTCCCATGGCTAAGAGCGTGCGTCGAGCGGGTGAAATGGGCAACTCCTGGTCTGACGACCGGCTATTACGATAATTTAACAGTAATCTGTACTACTTTGCATGTCACTATATGATCTTATGCTTCAAAAATTCTTCTGCTTCCTCTACTTCAAGAAAGCCAGTGGTATTGCACATTCGAAGCTAAATTATCGTTCTTGTCGCAGCACTGACACTCGGTGACTCGGTTACCTCTGTAAAAGTCCAGAGCTGTAGGTACTAGCCTTAGTGCTGTAATACAGCTCACGAATAAGAAGTTAATGGAGACTAGTACAAGGCTGTTTGAACACAGCCGCGATTACAAGGAATGCCAGGGCAATCACGGCGCCTGGCACTGCAACACACTTGGGTTTTACCCAGTTTAGCTTTCACAATTATTACTATCCATCTTGCACAAGAAAATATATGGCCGATAGAGAGGACAATCCTTAAGGATGATTGACTTGCATAGGAGAAAGGCTTACTAACGACTTCCATCAAGCAGCTAGAGAGAAGTGATTAGACTAGCTAAAAAGGTCCGAAAACATTGAAAACTTGTCAACTAATGGCTTCAATCTTTCATTCTGACGATAATGAAATACTCCGCTGTCTTGGTCTGGTCGACACGGGCTTGCTGGCAGTGCCTGCACTAACTTAGCCATTCGCTGCGCCCTGATTCACACAGAGCGTATAACTTGAGCTGCAGCAATCTTTTCCAAAATCAAGTTTCGAGTCCTGTATAAAACTATAAATATGATACAGCGTGGGACATACCGAGTCATACCTCCTCTATACAATATTAAGGCTCGGTAGGGGTTGAAACGGGATGAGAACGAACGAGATCATAAGATTTAAAATGGTACAACCCTTACTATTGATTATCAGAAGGAAGTTTGAGAATATCACCGAAATCGATTTGCACCTCCCATCAGAGCTGCCGTGGCGCTATTTGAACTATGCGATTGAATAAGAAATTATTCAGGTCCTATTATGAACCTGTGTTATGATCTACCAGGCAAACACAGCTAGGATAACACTGAAGCTTACACAATAGAAGACTTACATCTCATAAGGCAGCTGCCGCTATCATCTAAGGTAGCTCATTAACATCTTTCCTTTCCCCAGTCTCTTTGTAAAAAACTCAAGGCGATCTCAACGAGCGTCCAAAGGTCATCAACCCTCAGTCAGTTTATTTCAAAAGCTTCCGCACCCGGAGTACTCACTGGAGAGTTTTCACCCGTCTATGTCAACTATGGAACTCCCAGGTCTTAAAGAAGTAGGTCTGCAAGAGATCCTTAATCCTCGCTATCCAAGTCGTCGCAATGTGACAAGTACCAGTGAGAATGAAGACCAATATCCTAAAGGTGAGACTATTTTGCCGAGTTCAAGATCAGGAATGCCTCCCCTTAGTGGATGTCCTGATAAGGAGGTCTTTGAATAGGCAAACACAGAGTGAATACTCTGCCTCTGAGGTTCTCGAGCTCTGAGACCCAAGGACAATTGAGTTTTCTTCTCTCGCAATATTCCTCAGATAGCTAATTGAGAAGTTTGTCTCAAAGAAAGAATCAGGGGGCAATTATCTCTGCATGTACATTGGGAACTATTATAACTATTATATCTATCGTGAAGGATCGCAGCGATACAAGAAAATGAGATGCACAGGCTATGTGCTTCGCTGATTGTATTCATACCGAAAAAGAAATATTTTGGGTAGGAAATAAGAAATCTCCGCTAAGAAATATGGGCGATCGGACGCCTGGTGTAAGTTCTCCTTGTCTAGTAATGTATTTACTTAGCAATGAAGAAAAAACTGATGTGTTAAACAGACAGTTTAACCAGCTTACCAATCACCAATGGAACAGCTTACCAATCACCAATGGAAACGGGTTGCGACTAGGGCTCCGAAAGGAATAAATGAATGCGAATATACAGCATATTCATATTCGCACTGTAGGAATATGAATATATGAATTTTTATTCACGCGAATTGTTGAGATAGATAGTTGTAGTGTTCTTGTTGACGTTACTATCAAAAGTGGGAAACCCATCTACTTAAATGTACATCGCTAGTCTCGCCACACAAGCTTTGACCACCGTGATATTCAACACTCCCACTCGATGGCAACCATCTCCTATGGTGCCAGTGATACTTCAATCGCGGTTGAGACAGGTCCCATTAAAACCTTCCAAAAACTTCCTTGGGAAGAAAAGAAGGAAAGGGTATCCTGCACCTTGGACTGGTTCAAGTGGAAGTGGAGGCGTGATCACTGGATGCCAAGTTCTTTTCGAAACCACTCAAATCTTTGCCGAGTCAAAGGTTTGGTAAAACCATCAGCAATCTGCTCTGTGGTTGGGACATAACCAAGCTGCACTCTTTCGCTATCTTGGACCTCTCCTTGCCATTTGCGTTGGATTTCCATATGTTTTGTGCGGGAGTGGTATTGTGGATTTGAAGCAAGAGCGATGGCACCTTGGTTATCACCGCAGATGATCGTGGCGATTGTTCCTTGATCCATATTCAATTCATTGAGAAGTCTTCTCAGCCAGACTGCCTCTTTGGTGGCTTGCGTTTGCCCTAGAAACTCGGCTTCGCAGGTTGAAAGTGCAACAACGCCCTGGCGCTTTGATTGCCAACTGATTGCCCCGCTTCCAATGTTGAAGAGATAGCCAGCTGTGGATCGTCTCGTGGCGCGACATCCTCCCCAATCCGCATCTGTGAAGCCTCTCAGTGTCTGAAGCTGACCTTGGTAGGTGAGTCTGAGGTTCTTTGTTCCTTTGAGATACCGCAGAATGCGACGGGCCAGTTTTATGTGCTGGGGCCCAGGGTTTGAGAGGAATCTGCTAGCGACAGAGACCGCATACGCGATGTCCCCCCTAGTTCCAAGCATGATATACATCAGTGATCCGACAATGCGTTGGTAAGAGGCCCTTTGGTCTGGATAGCAGGTGTAGTCTGGACTATTTTCCGGAAGTGGTGAGGTTTCGATCGGCGTACTGACGGGAGCGCAGTTGTCAATTCCAAATTGATGAGCGATGTTGTCAATGTATGCCTCTTGGCTGAGGAGCAGTCTCCTGTTTTGACGGTCTCGCTGGATGGACACCCCGAGATAGTAGCTGCATGGCCCCAGGTCCGTCATCTGAAACCGGTTTCTCAGGCTCCGCTTGATCCTCTTGATCTCAGCGATGCTCGGACCCACGATCAGGAGATCATCAACGTATACTGCGATGTACACACTGCTCCGGACAAAGATACCAAGATCGGCGGTGATTGGCTCGAAGCCAAGGCTGCGAAGGAAATTCGTCAGGGTCTGGTACCAGATCCGAGGGGCTTGCTTCAAGCCATAGAGGGCCTTTCGAAGCTTGCAGACCCTCGGCGTGCCGTCCGTCATGTGGTGGGGCTGTTCGACGTAGATCTCGTGGTCGATATCTCCGTACAAGAATGCGGTTTTGACATCCATTTGTTCAATCTCCAAGTCCAGGGCCGCTCCGATGGCAAAGAGCGCCTTGTAGCTCATTGGCTTGACAACCGAGGCGAAAGTTTCATCATAGTCGGTCCCTTCAGCTTGTGTGAATCCTCTCACTACCCATCGGCTTTTGTGGCGGATGATTTCACCATGCGACCCGCGCTTGAGTTTGAAGACCCATTTACCGCTGAGCACCCGCCGATCTTTGGGAGGATCCACAAGCTCCCACGTTTGATTTTGGTGGAGTGAATTCAATTCTTCACGCATGGCCCTTTCCCAATCCATCCAGCTTGCGTCGTTTTTGGCTTGGCTCAGACATTTGGGTTCGAATGGTTCCGTCTCCTTTGCCGCCATGGTCAAGAATGTGGGAATGACGTTCTCTTCAGGTACGTTCATGAGCGCAAGCTCGTCGTCCTCATCGAGATTATTCAATGTGGCTTGTGAAGCCCGAAGTTTTAGTTCAGGGTGGTGATCTAATGTTCCTGGTTGAACTTCATGGACTGGCTGATGGAGCTCTGAATATCCTTGCCATTCTAAAATTGGCCCTCGTTGGTGTTGCTGGTCGCCACCGGATGGTAAATCAATCCCAAGGACAGAGTCCTGATAATCAGGTGATAGTGGCCCGAGGATGTTCCCTCTCCGTGTGGACGATAAGGTTATGCCTCCTTGTGTAGCAACCGCGTCGCCCTGTTGCTGGTCGGCACCGGGTGGCGATTCGATCCCAAGGACAGAATCCTGATAAGCAGGTGATAGAGGTCCGAAGGTGTTCTCACTCCGTGTGCACGACAAGGTCCTGTCTCCCTGTACAGCAACAGCTGGCTGCGAGTCATCGTCACTCGTTTGGGACGACGCTTGAGTTGGCGAGTTATCGTCACTCGGCTGGGTCAGCACTCGCGAGTTATCATCACTCCGAGGCAGTGTGTGCGAGATATCGTTTCTCGGCTTAGGTAGGGCCCGCTCTGGGGGATCCATCGACAATCGGTGCCCCGAGGCAGGCACGGATGCTTGCCGTATTCCTACCGACGGTTGGTTTATTAGTCCCACCGTCCCACTCCCCCTGCGACAGCAGCCGTTGCCTCAGGTGAGCCGTCTTGTCTGGCTCCCACATCTTCTATAGTCTGTGTGGAGGGAGTTGTAAGGACTTCTTGAAATTCAGCGTTTGGAGTTCCAACGATTCTTCCGTCTCCCAGTAGGATACGGTAGTTGGTATTTCCTTCATAGCCTAGCAGAATGCATGGCTTTGTTCGCGGATCCGTGAGCTTCTTTCTTTGCTTTGGCGGAATCAAGAATTCTCCTTTTGATCCGATCACTCTAAGTCTCGAGAGGTCAGGTCTGTCGCCGTACCACGCTTGGTACGGAGTCATGTTGAGCTTCGACGACGGCGACCGATTCGAGAGGAAAGCTGCAGTTCGAGCGATTTCCGGCCAGAACTTAGACGGTAATCTTGCATGTGCCAGCGTAGGCCCAAGGCGGTCATAGATTGTCTTATGCGCTCTTTCGGCAACCCCATTCTGCTGATGTTGGTCTACGCCTGTCACCTCAGCTTGGATTGCGCGCGAGAATAACATGAATTTCATCTCGTCTCCCATTTGTTCAGATATCCGGTCCAGACGTATTCGATGGCATTTTCGCTCGGGGCGCTCGTTATGGTCGAGGAAGAACCGCAGTGATTCTATGACGTACTGTTGTCTTCGCGGTATAGGGATTATCTCGATCCAGCCCGTGAAGTCGTCAACGATGGTCAGCCAGTAACGGCTGCCATCGAGGCCCTCATCAAATGGCCCTGCGACGTCAATATGGAGGAGGTCCATTGCGTGTTCTCCTCTCCTGCTGACTCTTGATCTTCTGTGAGACCTTTCGATCATTCGCCCCTGCAGACAGGGATTGCATGGATGACGTGCCTCCATATCCCGCACGCCATGAGCCTGCTGCTTGAGTCGCCGCAGATTTGCATCACTCATATGGGCAAGCCGGCTGTGCCACAGAGACATTTGTGGGCTAACATGGTAAGAGGGGAAAGTCAGACTTGCCCACAGATCGAGTGCGTAGACTCCATGATATTCACTGGCAGTGAACAGATTCTTTCCGTTTGATCTGTTGCGAAGGATAGCATCCCGGCTTGAGAATTCGACTTTTGCCCCTCGTTGGAGAAGCTGGAGAACCGAGATGAGATTGGCATGTGCGGATGGAACATACAGGACGTTATCAAGCACTAGCCATTTCTTTCTGCCGCGTACATTGCACAGGATATTGACTGTTCCCACTCCCGAGGGAGCTGTTGAGGTATCAATGCCTCTCAGTGAAGGCCCATGATATTTAGCCATTTGGACAAACCTGGAGGCGCTATTGCAAACGTGTTGAGCGCATCCACTATCCACGATCCATGCGTCACGGATAGAGGGGGTCTTCATCGCCATCATTATGGGAACATGGCCAAACAGAGCGAGATTGCCCTCGATGTCGTTTCCAAATGCTTCGTTGACATCTTTCCCGGAGACTTTCGTCGCCATGAAGGTTGGTTTCTTCGGGTCATTGGGGCCACTCGCATCGTCGTCCTCGTCGTCCGTCAAGGTCCGTCTCTTGGACTGTCTACGTGCGCCTATGTACATTCTGCCTGGCCTTGGCTTGGGTCCATCTCCGTCTTTCTTCTGGATCTTCAGTCTCGGGTTCTTGGTGAAACATTCGCTGTCGATGTGATATGGTTTTCGGCAGAAGGAGCAATACGGGACGTTATCAATCTCTATTCGACAAGTACTTCCATCCGACGACGGTATGAGCTTCTTGTCACCTGGCCCACGGACTAGGGCGAGAGCAGGAAGTGCTTGCGTCTCCATTGCTTGTTTGCCCAATTGCCCTTTTCTATGCTCTTCCTCAATGGCCTTGTTCTCGATATAGTCAAATGTAGGTGCTGCTTTGATGATACTCCCATTTGCGTCTCTTTCGTTGACAAGGTCCATTTGTCGGAAGATATGATCACGGAAGCTCTCGTACTCGGGGCCGAGTGCATGAACAAAGAAAAATGTTCGCTCAATTTCAGAGGTCACGCAATCAGGGTCAAGAAGGAGTTTTTCAGCATGAATCTTCCTGATCTCTGCCCCTAGCGCTTGGGTGCTCCCACACTTATCTCTTGTGAGGGCCATATATCGTCGTTGGAGGCTAACATACGTGCCAGAGCCTTCCGGTTTGAAGTTGTCCTGGACTGCCTTAAGCAGTACTTGCACTCGAGATATCTCAAAGGCATTGATTCTTTGCGCCGCATTGTGTGTCAGCTTTGCCGTAATCATCGCAGAATAGAACTTTTGGCGGTGAACCCATTGCCGTGCTCCTTCCTCTTCTATCGGTGGAGTCACTCCATCGTCGGCAACCGCAGATATCCGAATGAACTCATTGACCTTCTGGTTCCACCGAAACCAGTCGCTGGCATTATCTAATGTTGGGATTCCGTTGTAGAACGTATTGATTCCGAATTGCTCGAACTTTGCGATTTCACTCATGTCGGCAAAGGATGCTCTTCAGAGCTGAAGAATTCAGGACTTTATATGTCGTTGGGCCGATCAGAGGTAATTGATTCACTATTTGATGACTGAGGCGAGCGCACTTCCAAGCCAAAGAGTTCAAGGCTTGATGCGACACTGGGAAGACTTGAGACAATGGAAATGCTTCGATCTGATGAACTTGGCGTAGGCATCCGAGATGGAGGAGTATAGTCGCTGTCCGGAACTCCTTGTAGATTAAGGCAATACTTGTACGACCTAAAGAAGTGGGGAAAACGGTGTCGATCAACAAGATATTCCGGCTTCCTTGGAGGGAAGATTGACGGTCTGTTTGGCCTGAGTTTGTAACGACTCGAATTGCTGTTGTCGGAAATGAATGGATCTCCTCCACCCGCAGGGCTTGGTGATGTGAAGGCCAAAGTCTCAACGTTGTTTCCCGACTGAACGAGAGCACGATAGCGACTTGTCCCCCGTGCGATACTGGAACACGTGGGTTGAGCTTCGGGGAAACCTGAGAGGTCTTCCCCAGTGTTGCGAGGAGCGATGATTGGAGTGGTGATCCTCGATGCTCGGCGTATGCGGTCTTCAGTGGACAGGCGCCAGTAGGCTCCCAAAAGTGCGTTCGGAGAAAGTGATGGGAAGTAGGACGTCTGTATTTTCTTGAAGCGCCATTGGCGAGTGTATCGGAGGTATGAGAGGATGTTCAGCTCCTCATCCGTCCAAGAATGTCTCTTTTGTAGTGTTTTCCGCATTTTCCTTCCGAAATGGCATTGTGGCTGGTGACTCTAAGAAGATAGATACCGAGTTTGCTGCAGATGGTGACATGTCCCAGCAGTAGGTAACATTTGCGGTACCTCATGCCAGTTTCATAGTGTAACCGTAGCAATAATGGCATACTGTCTATGGCGATTTGACGGAGAAACTCTCGAGCCTTGCTGCAAACGGTGACATGTTCCGGCTATGGAGGCAACCTTGCGATACTGTGTGCCCTTATGGCAGTGTCACAGTAGCAATGATGGCATGCTGTTTATAGCTTTTCAGTGAAAAGAAATTCATCCGAATTATTGCTTCAAGAGGGGGTTGAGCAATAGGACTTCGTATTTTCCATCAAGTTACTGAGAATATATGATCAGTTTCTGAAGTTCATGGAGTTAGTCTCTTGACAGAGAAGCTTAGCTGTAGTGGCAGGTAAGAGATTTTGATATTTAGATGCCTGCGTGCCCAAAGGTAAAGCCACCCGGGCTCATAACCTGTTGAGATAGATAGTTGTAGTGTTCTTGTTGACGTTACTATCAAAAGTGGGAAACCCATCTACTTAAATGTACATCGCTAGTCTCGCCACACAAGCTTTGACCACCGTGATATTCAACACGAATAAACGCATTATTCATATTCGCATTCATATTATTCATATTGTGAATTTTATCCGCATTAATACTTTGTCCGGTACAGCGGTTCTCGTATTACCGAAATACGTTAGGGGTTAATTTCAAAATTCCATCACTTCATCGACGGCGTTGAACCGTAGAATGTCATTTCCAAATATATGCTAGAATTCAAGATCCGCCTATCTACTAAGCTGCAGTGGATTGTTTTGAGGTACCATACTCATCCACAAGCGTCTGATCATGGAGACTTTAGGGCCAGTAGAAAAGAGCGGTTGAAATTATATATATCTATGACCCAGCTTCATATCATCTTGTTTGGTCTGTTTGACTATACCCATTAATTCCCGTAGTTTCATTGTGATCCATTTCAAATTTCGTCCATGCACTATGTACGATGAATGGCACGTAGAAACACGTTTGCCTCACAATATAGAGTCTCCAATGACCCTGGCTGCATTTTGTTTACATTCTGTTTACGCTCAATGTTACGAATAGCGCGCTGCAGAAATACAGAAGTGACCTATCGATTTTCCAGTTCATAAAGGGCATATAAAGCGCGAAAATGACCGAGATTGCCAACAATCATCCCACCCTCCAGTCCCCCTTTCAGCTCTGCCTGATTATTCAAGTAGCTCAAGGTATGTTATGCATTATTGTTGAGACCACTTTGATATACTGACCCAGAAAACACTAGCATGGCATCTACACCTGCTCCATTCGTGCGGAGGACGCGGGGTCTTCCACGCCGGGACTATAATGCTCTACACAATGGCCTGGTTTCATCACCTTCTGAGCAATCCGAGGAATCCATTTGTGAAATAGGACGCCCCTACTCTCCGGAACACTCTCCGTCTAGGGGCCCTGAGCAAACACCCCAATCTAAGCGGTCCTACTGTCTGCCTAGTTCTTCCCCCTCCCCGCTTGATCCCGCGTTTTCAGAGAGCACGAGCAATACGAGTAGCTTGCATCCGTATAAGAGACGAAAAACCAAGTCCTATTCTAGTTGGACCACTGAGCACTTTTGGACCACAGAGCTGGACAACACTTGGTGTCGACAGGGCGGCCCCTTGAAGAATGACCGATTGCTGGTTTGCAAGCACTGTAGCTGGTCCTCCAGGGATTCGGCGCGCTATGGTTCCACTTCGAATTTGTTGGTGCATCTCCAGACCAAGCATCGTATCAAATCCGGGAATCACCCTATATTGTTGCCCACGGCCGAAGGGAACCTCGACCCATTCTTGGAGTCGCCGGGGAAGAAGGCTGATGTTGAAAAGACGCTAGTCCAATGGGTCATTCAAACAAGGCAGCCTTTCACGGTAGTGGAGCATCCGGCGTTCAGGGCACTTATTGAAGCAACGGGGGTTAAGTTGCCTATCAGGACCGCTGACACTCTCTTCAATCGAATCAAGGACGAATTCCACTCAGATAGGGCTTGCGTGAAAGAAAAGCTTGCTATAAGCAGTCGAACACTCGCATTATCTCTTGACGTTTGGACTTCGGAGAATCAGATCGCGATAATGGGTATCATGGGTCATTGGATCTCCCCCGAGTTTGAAAAGCGAGAAGAACTTCTCGAGTTCACGGATATCAATGGACCACATTCTGGAGAAAATCTTGCGGAAATTGTGCTAAAGATGCTCGAGGAACTGGACATTGCGCCTAAACTCCTGACTATCACAGGAGACAATGCGGGCAACAATGGGACTCTCTGCGATAGTCTGCATGACGAGCTCTGCAAAAAGTACGACAACGATGATGACCGCTTTCGCATCAGGCCGCTAATGCGGTTCCGTGGACGACAGAGCTTTATCCCTTGCCTTGCCCACGTCCTCAATCTGATTTGCAAGGACGTGTTAGCTTCTTTGAGGGCCGGCTCGGCACGAGAGGCGAAGGCGATGCTGGACGACTTGGCCGTCAATACTAGCTCAGCATTTAGCTCCCTTCACAGCACGAAAGGAGCAATCATGAAAATCCGGCTTTTGACACTATGGATCGCCCGCAGCCCACAACGCCGCCAAGATTGGAAAGAAGTGTCACCAGGCAAGCAAGTCAGCTATGATGTTGACACCCGATGGAACTCAACCTATGTCATGATCCAAGACGCCCTCCGGCTACAGACTGAGCTGGGGCAATTTGTCCGGATACATCCAGAAGTCCAGGCCCTTCAGCTCACCGATGACGAATGGTCGACGCTTCAGCAAGTAGCCAAGATTCTCAAGCCGTTTTGGGACCACACAAACTCCGTATCAAAGACTCGCCCGACAATTGTGGAAAGTCTACCAATTTATTGGAGCTTGGACGACTTGTTGAACGACGTTCGGAATGCCGCGGGAGATTTTGAAGATGTGAACACTGAAATTCGAAATGCAGTGGAAAGAGGGATTCGGAAGATGAACAAGTTTGCCAGGAAAATGGACGACAACCTTCTTTACTACGTTGCTTCCGTGTTGGATCCGCGTATCAAGTCGTCCTTGATTGTATCGCAGATGAGTGACCAGGATGCAGGGCTCATCATTTCTCAAGTGCGCGAGTTTCTAAAGAAAGAATATCCCCCGGAGGCCTTTACCTTGCATGAATCTGAGAACTCACGTCCGCCGGGGATGTCGGAAACCATGTGGAAAACTCTGCGCAAAGTTCAGCCTGCCCAAGGAAAATTTTCATCTGATATCGATAAATATTTGGACTCACCACCGGTCAGCTGGTCCCACCATATGATCGGCGATGCGGACGAAGAATGGGTCCTGAAATGGTGGAGGGCCAACGAATTTAATTTCCCTCTAATGGCAAAAGCCGCTCGCGATTACCTATCGATCCCCTCAGCAGAGGTCGGTATTGAACGCGAATTCAGTAATGCCAGAGATATGTTGGGTCTCCGAAGACACTGCCTAAACGCAGAGACTATGCGATGGTTGATGCTACTGAGAGAACGGTATCAAGCATAAATTTCGGGTAATTCAAACTTCAAAGCCTCGTATTATTACGCTGCGTAAGAACAAAATGATGAACCCTATTGATGTATTGGGATGTAATGAAATGAATGGTAATGTATGGGATCTGCGTATTTGGGATAAATATGAATTATTCATTTATTCATGATTAATGCGAATATGAATAGAGGGGTTATTCATATTCATATTATTCAATTCATTTAATTCATATTCGCAGATATTCATGATTATTCACAAATTATCATATTCCTTTCGGAGCCCTACTTTCGGCCATAACTTACGAATACTGTATAAAACCGGGTCTATAGATGATCCGAGTTCATCGATTATGTAATTAGATCAGACCCATAACGTGATTCATACCGAAGCTGCGCACATGCCGAAGCTGCGCACCCCAAAACACATAGTAAACTCGATTAATCACTACTTCATACGTAAACAACCATATATTATTTTTACTTGAATATTAAGGTTTAGGCTTTTTTTGGCGTGTAAGATAACATACCTTAAAATCGAACGTTTTAGAGTATTATTTTGATGGTTTGCCTTAAAATACGGCGTAATTTTGACATTGGGGACATTGATATATATATGTTCACCAATACTTCCAGTGATCTTCTTGTAATTCACCAGTAGGCTAGAGATACTATCTAGATTATATGGTACTAATGTATTATCATAAATAGACAGAGTTGTTGGGATATGACATGGTAATTTATCGCATTTACTATGTGTTTTGGGGTGCGCAGCTTCGGCATGTGCGCAACTTCGGTATGAATCACGTTAAATTGACAGAAGAAGAGGTAATAACGTTAGCAATACAGAGTCATCAACATCATCGATTGGTCAAGGACAGTACGGTAATCGACAGATACTACCAAACCCAAACCAAATGCGCGAAAGGGGCCAATAAAAAGGGCAAGTTGGGACCAGGAGAAGAAGGACGAGATAAAATTGAAAGTGCTGCACGGACCAAGACAGCCTCCACTGTCTTGGATTTCGCCGAAGCATCGCAACGTTTTCAAAGCCGTGTGCCATGGGTGCAGCATAAACCGTAAACACAACGACGGCACATGGCCACGGCACACCTCGGCGAGGCTCTAAGTTCGCTTAGGAAGTGGTACACGATACATGTACATAGAGAGATATATATAGTCGTGGTAGCCTGCATATCGTTTCGATAGTTGAAACCTTGGAGTAAGGTACAAGTGTAATTATCTTGGTCTATATGAGACTCAGCCCACCTATACCTACAACAAGAACTACCTACAACATTAACACCGAAGCGTCACTTCTCAACACAACTTATTCGTATTCGCAATTATTCTTGAATATTCATGAATAGCGAATCATATTCCTTTGGAGCACTACCCGGGAAGGCCCCATCTTCCACCACTATCGTGGAGCAGTTAGCTTCAGATGAATGTATGGTTTTCTCCCAACTCTCAAAATATGGAACTGTATTCACTCCTACGAAAATGAAGACAAATCTTCGTTGACGTAATACCACAAGTTGAACATGGCGTGGAGCGATTAGGGCGGTGAGCATAAATAGTTGTGTTTTGGTTTAATCCGATATTACCCTACTGACTGACTTACCGCCCGCATCGTTATACAAAACCTTTGAGTAGAAGGCGGTTATATGACATTCACAAAAGCGAGCCCGCTCTATGTCAAATAGGCTCAATTTACTTTCAACGGTAAACAAATAACGACTGTTGCCAATTGATGTAAAGTAGAGAGTCTTTTGTAGCTGCCCAACTGCAAATCTTTGCGATGGAGTTATCGTACTTAAAAGTCACGAGACGCCCCCACGAGGCAACCCCTCCCTAAATTTTCGGACAGTCGCGTTTGCTCACATTCACAGCACAAGCCCCGAGATCCTGAACACAGCAGCACTCATTGAATGCATGCAAATATTTGATAATCGAAATACTGATCAAATACGGCCGACTCTCCTCGACTCCACGATACTTGACGGCGTTCCGTGCAACCACTACCAATGCCTACAGACCAAACGCCAATGACATCACTTTCATCCGCCGGCGTCATAAACAGTGTTGGCCAAGCTTGGAATGAAGTTTGCGCTGTTGCCGAATCACTGTCAAGGTCGACGCCGCACTCAACTTTCAAGCGGTTTTTTCCTACAGATTTTCCGGGTTGCCACGCTCCCATTAATGCTGCCATCGCAGAATATCTCAAGGTAAAAACATCTTCCCGGCCCTAGAGATCCTCATAGTGACGTGTTTTAATGCATTCGCTCCCTTTACTGCAGACAAATCCCGCAGTCAAGACATCGCAATTTAAAACAGGTGGATATGTATTTTTCCCGGGGAAATCCATGGTCGGAGAATCATTGGTCGGAGAATCGATCACAATGGTTATACCTTTACACATAGTTGGTGAAGTACAGATTGAGGATCTCCACTTGGATGGAAGACACCACTACCATATCCTGAGGCCGTGCTACATTGATGTGTCTGAAGGTGCCAAACTGGTGGCGCTGATTGTTGACTCTAAATAATGCCCATTATGTTTATCTTCAAGCTTTGAATTTGTATCAATTCCAAAATATACATGAAGTCCTGGGAAGTGCATCAAACTATCTCGTTGGTATGCTATGTTTTTCAAAGCACTGCTGTGTTTTCGCTGCAATAATCCCAAATTGGTGGACTGCGACAGCAAGTTTGGTTATTACAGAAGATAGCTAACTGGATCTCCCTCCAATAATCAAAGGATGGGGTAACCAGGCTCGTGAGCCAAATTCCGGTAAGGAACGCTTGCATCTTGAGGGCGTTCGTGGTCTTGATTGTAAAACTGACCTGGAACCAACGCGACAGGCTCATATTTGTCAAACCCGCAAGCCAAGGACTGGTAAGGCATATTACCACCCTGAGGGCATCCGTGGTCTTGATTGTGGAGCTGACCTGACCCCCACGCGACTGACTCGGCGTTATAGTTGTCAAATCCGCGAGCCGACGTCTGGTAAGGGCCGCTCGCGTCTTGAGGGCGTCCGTGATCTTGATCATAAAGCTGTCCTGGAACTAATGCGACAGGCTCATAGTCATCAAATCCGCAAGCCGAGGACTGATAAGGCATATTACCGCCCTGAGGGCATCCGTGGTTTTGATTGTGTAGCTGACCCGAACCCCACGCGACAGAGTCGGCGTTGTAGGTGTCAATTCCGCGAGTCTGGGATTGATAAGTGGTCTCTTCGTTCCCAGAAATGCTCAAATTTTGATTAGCGCTCTCCAACCTTGACTTATATGCAACTGAAGGGCCTTCGGGAGGTTGTAGTCCACGTCCATTCGAATAGTCCTCGATTTGGATTACAGAACCATTCAAGCCTTGTTGACCAACAGTGACACAAACAGGTGCGCTTGCCGTTTCACTGGCGATATCTGTTACCGAAACATTATTGGGCACTTCTAATATTGCCGAACAACATTAGTAAAAACAAAAACCCAATTCGATACGCGGACGGTGTGTTCTTACTTACCTATAGTTGCACGTGTGATGTCTCGACACTCCATACTCAAGTTGGCTGAAGGTTGGTCACAATAAGCTTGATCCCAAGTTTCTGAAAAATCAGATGGACTGGGCAAAGATGTGTTATTTTGCATGCCAAATCTGCGATCACGTACATCCACCCTTATCGAAGGTGTCCGATTCACACCAGCCAGTGATAAGGAACCATCTGGTTTTCCAGGAATTATTAGACTCAGTATGGAAATTAGGTCAAACTTTAGACGACCTACTTGAAAAGCTTGTGACCTGGCCATCACAACTCGAAGATGTGGGCGAGGAAATGAAACTCAGATTTGGTACGGAGTTTGGAATTGGATAACCGTCATTCCGAAGCCTGAGAGCACGAGTGCCTTGTAGGCAGCGCCAGTCTGGTTGGAACATTTGTTAACGACGTAGGATTGCAGACGGTTGTTAGATACCTACCCTGCAAAGAACTGAATAGGCTTCCGTCTTTTCCCTGTTTGGATTGAACAGAGGACTCGATCCTATCCCATAAGGAGATAAAAATATCATTCGCGAGGCTGTCCATGGCTTTATTTTGTTCCAAATCGCAGACACCACGGCGAAGTAATGAATCGATCACTGTCTCCCTTTTCATTCCTTTGACGGTGAGTTCTTTCAACATGCTGGTAAAGTCAGCTTAAACTCCTTGACTTTGCAATTTACTCACAATCTGTCTGTAAAATTGCTAGGCAGTCGAAACAAATTTCCCAGGTATCTGTAATCTTGGGCCACATTGTAACTTCCTAGTTCCCTGCACAATGCATCATATCTCGCTCCAACGTAGGCCCAGTCCTTGATTTTCAGAGAGATTTTCTCTGCGTCACTGCCATCCAGACCTGCCGCCATAACCTTGTGAGTCATCCATTCGACCGAGCTAAGTCGAAGGTAGGTTATACAAAACCTATCTTGCAAATGATGGAAAAGGACCTTCAGAAAGCGCAAACGTATCGTATCCCCAGAGCTGCGAGTTTCTGCGTCCGCAAGTCCTTGGTATATCGTTGCGATCGGACAAGCCGGAGCGGCCGAGGAACATTCTGTGCTGCGCTTGATGTCTAGAAAAGAGCGGTGATTTTTTGACCACGAATCAATATTTGATTGCAAAGATTCAGAGATGTAAAGTCTCTCAGTCTTGGACTTCTTCGATTTGTTCTTGATGCGCTTTCGACCGGGTGAGTGAATTTGTTGTTTCGAACTTTCAGGCAGGTTCTTCCAGAGCTTTGCAAGGCAATTGACGAACTGTTGCTGATTAGACGGAGACTGACTTCCGGAGACGAACTACCAACTTGCTTGTCTGAGAGAATATGCTGAACTTGGCTATTTCCATTTTGCTCTGCGATCGAACATGCTGTCGTCAATTTTCCAAGAAGTATCTTGCTTTCTGTTATGCCCATGTTGAGTGAATTTGGACTTGGTGTTGAGAAATTGAACCCACACACACCTACAATCTCCAGAGTAGTCTCTAGATTAAAACCCAGGGGTGGCTAAAAATTACTAACCAGTGATAGATCGGCAGTAACGGACTCAGCCCCCATAATTCAGGTCTTCGGGATTACTACTTACCTGGATTTGGACGACCGACGACCAGTGAATAGCCAGGTGCGTTTATCTATTGGCCAGAAACCGGCCCCGAAGCCCGGCCACACCACTAATGCAGCCACCAAAGTGGAACAAAGGCCCAGCCTGGTTCGATCGGAGCTGTGTCACCGACATACCAACACCAATCAGTTGCGGGGCCGCAACTTACTGATGGGCCACTGAGAGCCAACCGACCTACTTGTCAGCAAGTCACGCGCGGTACCTAACATTCAGACACCCCAGGAATTTCGGGAACAGAGAAACCACTTACAATCCTGCACGGTGAGCGAGAATATGTTGCTCTGAGCGGACCGTCTTGCCAGAGGAAATCCACTACATATGTATCGAAGCCTCAGTCCCTGTCCGATGCCCAACATCTCTTAGGTATCCTACTGTTTTGAGTAGACGTGCAGCATTCTGTAAAGCCATATCGACAGGCTCCCTGCATACGTTTCAAGTGCCCCTGCAGTTGAAGATTTTTTACCACGACCACCTGTTTTGCTCATCTTCGAAACCAAAACATCCTGAACTTCCTAGCTGAGGACCCAATTTGTATGGGCAATCATGCAAATTAGCGCACAGGATCATCTAACAATCAATGATTTTATTTAACCGCTTACTGTAGCAAATGATGGACACTCCCATGTTCATCTTCCGCTTGTTTCATTTAACATTTACTGATCCACCGTCTCCCCTAAAATTCGCAGTGCTCTCGTCCCGCACAAAAATAAAACCGAGGCTCCATTGACTAGACCTCGCCATGGCATACGGGCAGTGCCGCACATTAGGAAAATCATTCTTTTTGAGAGTTGCGAATTCTATACTATCTTAGCAACGTATATCTTATAACAGTAACGTAGTTATTTTATGTGAATTGAAATCTTCACATAGATATATGACTACAGAATAGATTGATGCTACCAATTCACTTAGCAGATATTATCTGCCGGCTGCATCAATGTATCGAGTATATACCGTATACCAAAGCAATAATTTTGTAGAATACACGCAACAACGACAGACATTAATAACAATATAAATTTCCGAAAGTTGAATTTGTCTATTCTTAGAGAAAATCGTAGGAGTTAGCATATGAAAGGACTTGCCATCAGCTCACACAGCCGCCTCCCAAAGTTGGGGCAAGCTTACGATCCTACAGTTGAGCCCCATGAAATATAGCGCGGAATAGAGGCCCTCTTCAACGAGTATCAGAGCCACAGCCTGGAAGTGCTTTCGTCTAGGAGACACCTGTCAAGTATAGCGCCTGGCGTTATATCGATCATTCTTGACATAATATAAAACAATCTCTAAAGAAATAAGGGACCAAACAGTGTGGTACCTCAGGAGAATTCGACCGCTATCATCTAACATGGGGCGGAAACCACGTTCGGGCTCGTTTCCTAGACGCTATGGGCATACAGGAAAGTAAAACCTCTCAAGATATAGTATTGGCAGCTGTATCCTTCCATACCGGAAACAAAGACATGATATAACGCTACACTCGTAATGGCTCTTTCACAACCAATTTTGATTGACATTGTCTACTTTGTAGTCACCAGCTCATCATCGGCCAACTGCTTGACACGATACAATACTATAAATCAACCAAAAAGGATATTTAATCAAGCAATAATCTGCCACAAATGGCTCACGCAGAGGAAGTCGGAGCGGGAGGTGGCTTGTTGTCTATATGCAAATTTTCGTTACATTAGTGATTCAATGACATGTTCTCTGTACGCACTTACGATCAGCACAAAATCGGGATTGAGCAATGGCCCATTTTCCACAACCAGATACGGCGCAACGTTGGCTTGAGGCAACGTCATCGATCGGCTGTGGGCCGCTCAATGAGACAGCGTTGACGAGACTTGGTACAACTTTGTGGGACATGATGAGCTCGGAGGATTTTGAAACTGATTGATAGATAACTTGGAAGGTAAATAAATGAAGATAGTATAACGGGAGGAGACTTACGAGGGCTTTCTTTTGCTTTATATAAAAGAAACTCAGTCTAGCAAATGAGGGCATGGATTTGGACCTAACCAAAAGTGGTGATTACGCATATATCGCTTTGTTGGCATCACAGTGCGTACTATATTCGTACGTTTTACCTAAATCACTCCAAGCTGGGTCCTTTTTTGCGCAATGCGCACAGGCTCGAAGCTTGCATAACACCATTCCTGTTTAGTCCAATCTTGTCCGCGCGGACAAGATTGGACTAAACAGGAATGGCAATCAGCTGAATTGCCTGGATAATTATTGGTATGTTCAACCACTCAAACCTTGTGGCCACATGCTGAATTTGGTGCCACAGCACCACGCACAGGGTAAAAAACTTCATTGCCAATTTATAGTGGTTGGGTCTCCTAGATGCGCTTCAGTCCTTTACGATCTGGCCATCTTGCTGGAATTGCACTCAAGATACCAGGAAACCATTAATCAGTTGGAAGGGCAAGTATACTGACTGTGGCCGAAAAACCTTGATCCGGCGTACGGCGTCCATCATCACGCATGCTTATCATTGACCGCTACGGCGTAGCGGCGGTCAGTCTCTTCACGTGACATCCCAATTTCGAAGCATTTATTAGCGAGCAGAGCTACCAACCATCGAATTACAAAAATTCATCTGGACTCCTCACTGAGTTTGACGTGCCTCAAAGTTGTGGTCAATCAAAGATGGCACAAACGTTCCGCTTCTGGACTTGTTGTGTTTCCCAATGTTCCGCCGCTGCTGCGATCGATGTCGGTCTCTGCGAGCGCTGTAAGCAGCATTTCTGCGCCTTTCACGCCACTACCCCAACACATTGTTGCAAGGTACATTCCACTCAGCCCAGATTGAGCGCGATTTTTAATTCGATCTTAGAATGAGCCTCTTGATGACGATGCATGGGCGGCTGCACTAACAGAAGAAGCAACAACCCTTCGACGCATGGTCAATGACAAGAATCTCCTGCGCCGAGCTTCAGAGCGTAATAGAGGCCTCAGTTGTGAATTTGACCCTTTGGATCCTATTGGGCAAAAGCGGATGGGTGGCATGCACATTCATCTTCGAATCATTTTCAGCGATGGAACCGCCTGGCTTGCCCGGATTCTCCGGCAAAACTACACCTCGTTCTCAGACAACATGAGTAACTATTGCCTAAAGAGCGAATGTGCCACCCTGGAATGGCTCCAAGGCATAAACGTACCGTCGCCTAAACTGTATGACTTTGGTCTGCGCAATGATCCCGAGAATGATGTTGGAGTTGCCTACATGCTGATACAGGAACTCCCTGGGACGCCTTTACTTTTTCTTAGCCCATCGAAGGAGCAGTTGCGTAAACTGTACAATGGCTACGCCGAAATTTTGTGTACAATTAACAAGTACCCACTTGAGCAAATCGGCTGTCTTTCTTTACAGCCCGATGGCACCATCTGCATGGGGCCCATCATTAGCGACCGGACGGGTACATTTTCGCAGATGGGGCCCTTCTGCAATGCACGAGAATACTACGCGACGTGGGCGGAGAAGTATCTCCAGATGATCTGCGACCGCCAGCTCTTCACTCGGTACTCCGTCAATGCCTACCTCATCTTTAAATATCTCAAAGAACTGGCGGAACAAAGACAGTGGAATCCCTTCGAACCGAGCATTGACAATGGCCCCTTTTTTTTGAAACACATGGATGATAAAGGCGACCATATACTTGTGGATGAGGATTATAATATTACTGGTCTTATCGACTGGACGTTTGCTAGGGCGGTGCCAATGTATGAGGCATTTGGACCTTCGCTTCTGACAGCAGAAATGAGTGACATATATGAAGGTAAAGCTGGGCGATCCTGGGGGGACAGAATCTTGGCTGAGGCCTTACAGACCAAGGATAAGCATCTACATCGCTTTGCCAGCGGCTCTGATCTAGTTCGCCGCTTCTTCTTTGGCCTCGGAATGGGTATTGACATGTCCTGGGACGAAGCAGTTGCCTTATTTCGAGGTATCGTCTCTACGGCTCAAGGAAGCAGCTTAGAACTTGACTGGGATGCATGGCGTCAAAGTCATCTATGCCAATGGGTTGATGATGCGAGGTTGCAAGCCCTTATGCTCAAACTGGGAGAAAGCTAGAATGTATCTAAGGACGGGCGTAGGTAGGCAGCAGAAGTTTACTTAGATCGACATATGGCTATTGGAGAATTTAAGGAAGAAAGGAAACCCCCCCCCCGGCTGTGTGTAGATGTTGCCGGTAGTACTGATCAACAGGCCGACGGAAATGAGGTATCCTGGGTGCAGAAGCCACAAAGTAATTCTTAGCTTTATGTCGTCAATCTTTTACACCGCAATAAAATATTGCCATTACATCGAGAAGACTCGTTGTTGATGCGGCCAGGCCCACAGATCTTTCCCAATTAGTCGAATCCTGTCCGCGCGGACAAGATTCGACTAATTTGGAGTAGCGCCAACTGTCTTTCAAAACGCACTCACTTTGAAGGTTGTCAGCCCGAACTTTGCCTCTATTGAACCCTCGATTTAATTAGAGAGATAATACAGTACAAGAGGACTTCGCAACAATGCTGAGGATCAAAACATACTTGCCTGATCACGAGGGGTGGGTAGTCTTAGGTGAAGGGACGCTGCATTGAGGGAAGACTTATTACAAAGCGGGTGGATGTAGTTAGCTCTTGGCCTTTAGTTGGCGAGGAAAAAGACGATTTTATCGTGACTGTGGTTTATAACCCAGGATGTACTCCGCTTAAAAATGTGGCATGAGAGGAGTCGGTCAACTCATCTGGGTCTTAATTCTACTCTACGTCATAGTAGAAGGTCTCAACTCATTTAATCTCTCATAAAATTGTATTGCAGGGGTCGCAAGTGGTCTACTGGCATCTGGCTTCAACCATTCTGGCACTCGCAATACGGCATACCTCTCTGCAGCAACATATGTCATGGCCTTGATTAGAACTGAGCTTTAATTTAGTTACCAACCTGAGTTTCCGAATTGAGGACGGGCCATAAAGCAAAAACTGAAGCCACAGCGGGCTTACGGTACAAGGATAACATCGTTGCCATGGATAAAGTCCTCTTTGATTCAGCCTGCTGGAAGACTGAGTCTGGTCCATCGGGAATCTTGTTTCCATTTCCAGGTCTGAAAACAATCCTTACCAGCTCTCGGCCATCAAAGGAGCAAAGAATCTGCAAAGTATAAAGATCCGAACTCACGAACCAACAGCTCAGGAGCAGCATAATTCTCTATCCACTGTATCCATCCATCGCCTTTGTCCCCGACAATATTTAGTCAACAATTGAAGAACACCATGTAAGATCGTGCTCATACAGCTTGCCTGTATTGTCGCACAAGTATCGTTATACTGGGGCCCTCCTTGTCAGAAATGTGTTCAAGGTGGAAAAGAGACCTGTGAGTTTCTCCTCACTGAAGCTAGCAAAAAGCGTGTTCCACGGCAGGTAGGAATTCAAAGTGACGCATGCCTCCTTTGCCGAACGAACAGCACATTTGCAGGGAAGGACATGAATGGGAATATCTGTCTGTCTGAGTGCATGAATGGGACATATCAAAAATTATATAAACCACGGCCGGACCAATATTTTCCACATACCAGGCAACATTTTTTCTCTCTTTCAATTATACTTAACCATACTTTGCGTGGCAGACTTGCCCTGATTCACGCTAAGAACCATACGATGAATCACCTCAAACCAAATGAAGAACCCACGCTGCCCGATGAGCCGTCAGCTAAGGCAAAGGTTATTTTCAGACTCGTCAAGGAATCCTTGTTCGCAGATGTCGAATCGGTCACCAAGACTTTTGAAGATGCAGACCTCAAACACAGTGTGTCTTTGGCGAATCAAATTGCGGCCAAGTCCGAGCTTCGACCAAAACTTCTTCTAGCTCTAGATAGAACTACTCAGTCTGACTGGGAAGACTTTTACTCAGGCACTGTGGGAAAATACGGCGGGATTACAGTCACCCCGCAGGTCCTTCTTGCAGATTTGGTATTTATACCAGAGACTTGATTAGAATCATCCGGGGCTTTGGGATCGATGTGGAATGAATTATCTGGTGTAAGAAGCTAATTTTTGTGCTAAGCTTTGATCTAGCTAATATATCACAGGAATGTCATATGATACGGTTGTGCTTAACCGTGGGATGTTTCAGAGTCGAATATGTATCCACGCGCGTGAGGTGAAGTCGGGATATGGCTAGAGACATGTAAGAACACTCTTTACCGATTTGTATCTAGACTTTCTCGTTTGAAATTTCAATGGGACTTTTGAGTCTACTTGATGTCCAATACCCACCAAGCATCGTCTACGGAGAACCATTTTTTTGCTTAAAATTATTTGCATAACGTGGATGTCAGAATTTCATGCGCATAGAATAGACTGATCATATGAGACACAATGAACTGGATAATATCCAAATTCAAACCGAAATTTAAATAACTCATGCTGTGGGAACATGTACTCCGCTTTGGGGATCAGGATCCCCGGGACTTGACTCGTTTTCCGAGAAAGGCATTTTCCATTGTCAATTGCTTCATCTTTGAACTCTTACTCCCGGTCCCTAAATATCAATATTCTGTAAAGATGAAGCGACAGGTACGTTCGGCAAATATGCCATAAAGTTGTAGGATGTTGCACTAGATAAATCCTTATTACGATCCATGTGATGTCGGCCTAGATCTTTCATTGCAGGAAAAGGCGATTCGATATTGTCTCAGATCGACGAACGGGAATCCAGCGGCGCGTGCTGCGGCATGATGAGAAAGCTGCCAATTGTGGTTCTATATACCGTACCATGACTCCAAGGATATGACCACCTTCCCTTCTCTGGAGAAGACAACATTCCAAAATATTTACTGGCGTCTGACTTGAATTATTCTGAGGCTCAAAATGGAGGTGACCCTCTCCGCAACAATTACCTACCTGATGGTCTTGAAGTTAGAAGTGAGCATCACTTTCTGTCCCGATTAAGGTTACTAACACTTGACCAGCCCTGGGATCATTTCCACATTCGAGAACAAGACGAAACAGGGGTCATGATAGAAGCAGCAGGCAGCAAGCTCCGGCTCTCCCTCGACGAGATGAAAAGCTCCATGTTTGGGTGCGCATTTCTTCTCGATCGTGGAGGATACTTTTGGTGTATCGTGTGTCATGCATTGCGGCATTGGAGAGATCCCGAATGGAAGCCACTCTCCGGAACTGATGGCTTGCGGGTCGGCAGCAGAACTCAAAGAGGACTACTGTATCTATGTCCTGTGTTATCTGGTAACACGTCCACTTCGGTTCCATTCTCTGTGCTGAAGATGACGACACCTGGTCGAGTAATGACTTGGCAAGCTGAGCATCCGGACAGCGAGTATACGCTACAGGTCAAGGCTGAGCTACTGTGCCAACTTTGCAAAGCAGCTTGGCTTGGAAATTGGAAAAGATGTCGGCGTCTGATTCTCAGCTTCACTATTGGTTGCTCACGGCTTTTGTTGATTGTCGTTGTCATGACCAAGGGACTGGCAAATGCCATTTGGGAACGGCTATCCAGGGATTCTTTTGAGCCTCTCGAGTGATTCTATGCATTTAATTATCTTCTTTCTTCGACCGGGTACGAGATGCGGGCTGGAGGTTGTCCATCAATGTAACACAATAGTATTGTTTTATTTCCTGCTTCAAATTGATGAAAAGAATTTGAGAGAGTGATCGAGACGTGACTCCATCAGAACAGCTCTTGGCATATTTTCACTTTGCAGGAGGCTTAGCTACCAAGAAATACCTGTTTCTGCCAGAAAAACCTGATACTAACAGAACATGTTGCCCATTTCGACAGAAACCGTGGACATACCCATGGCCAGAATTTGTCTTTTCTGGAAGATTGATTTATGAATATTCCGAATTGAAACAGCGGAGAGGCTATGACTGAAGTCAAGATGAGCCCTGCCACTAAGATAAGCCTCAGTGCCGTCCCCTTCCGTGAAACATATATTTGCTGTGCCCACACAACTGTCATAGACTTCAGTTTCTTTCTTCATGTTCCTGCTCTAAAGAGTTGACCTAGCAATCGCAGACCAGAATGAAAGCTCGTGCTCATAGAGCGTGTCGATACTGTCAGGTCAGAAAAAAACGCTGCATTGGGGGGCGTCCTTGTCAAAATTGCGTTGAAGATGGTAGAGAGACCTGTGAGTTTGGCCTCACTGAGATTGGTGGAAAGCTAGATGTACTTCAACTTCAGAAGATGCAGCGGTTCTCAAGGCGCAGATCGGCCTGCTTGCGGTGCCGCGGCAAAAAAGCACGTTGTACTGGCAAGGGATTTCCGTGTGGAACATGTACCGCAAGCGGGCTTGGAAGCACGTGTGAGTTTCCAAAGACAGAAACTCATGCCGAAGACACGGCATCTCCAAATCATTGCAATATCACCACCAAGTCACCTCGAAAGGACGTTTTAGGTCCGGATCAGATCCAACGGCCTGAAAGATCTGTCCGTGAAGGATGCGATATTGAGTCGATATCCTTCACCTCCACATTTGCTGCACTTGACAGAAGTCCCGCAGGCCACGACAAGTCACTGGGAGCTGCTACAATCAGTCCTCAGACCAGTAGCCTGACTGCAATCTCGGAGCTGAGTGAATCCTCAAGCTTGGGTTTGAGCAGCTTCAAAAATGCTGTTGACTCATCTTCACCGAAAGACCGCCCTTCATATGAGCAGCTATTCGATGTCCTCCCAGGTCGTGAGATGATTGACCACTTGATAAAAACATATTTTGCCTCTATTTCCACGGTAGGGTCAATCCATCAATAATGCCATGACATGTCCACTAACAACAACCTAGCTATTTGGCATCATTGACGCCACCGCCTTTGGAGCTGAGTATACGCTTTTCTTGCGGGACCGTTACTCAATGGATAGCTCCTGGTTAGCATTGCTTTTCGCAATCCTGGCTCTCGCGTGCCGTGCAGAAGAAGATCCTACAAAAGGCGGTTTCCCTGACGCTGCGTCGACTTGGTATGAAGAAACCGCCTGGAAATGTCTGTCAGCCAACAGCTCACCATCTCAATCATCGCCGAGTACTTTGAAGGCAATGTTACTCATCATCTACGGTCGCACACACCGTGGAGAGAATGTTCTCAGTCAACTGCGAATGGCTTATCGGGTGGCAATTTCCACCAAAAGTCACTTCGATACTGCTCAGTGTGTTTCAAATCCCTCAGTCTGCAAAGAGTTTCGGGCTATTTCGATTGGATTGGAAACTCTCTTCATCATCAATGCTCAAATGCATGACTACTACCGCAACCCGGAACTCAGACAAGAATTGCAGCTACTACTGGATACCGCCATAGAGACTTCTGAACTGACTGCCGTGGAAGTGTTATCTCCCATGCAGATGACGTTCACGAACTTGTACTTTCAGCTTTTGAAGATATCAGAAACGATATGTTCGACGACAGAACTTGGTTGGAGGTCGGATTGGAGCGTCTCTGGACTTGAAACCGAGATATCACGCATGGAGGATTGCTGCAGTAAGCTCTACATCGAGTCGAATGGGGCTGTTTTGCAGTCGATGTCTCCCCACCCAGTCTTCGGTATACTGCAGTGCTACATCAACTATGTGCTTCATCTTCTCTTTTTGCCTGATCTCGAGAATTACCTAGAAGGGGATATTGCGGTCGATACAAAGTTATCTGCTTTCAAGTGTATTGCGTTTGCAAAGGCCTCACTGCGAACTTTCAATTATCTGGCTGAGAACATGCAGCCTAATGCTTATGGTTGGTATATTCGAGGGCTCGGAAGCTACTATGCCGAGCAGTCTGCATATTCTCTCGCCAGAGGTGCCGAAGAACTTGAAGGACAAGAAGATGCCGAGAACTGCCGTTCTTTAGTGCAGCGTACGTTGCAGATATTTTCTACATTATCGGGCCGCAGCATCTTCTCTGCGCGAGGAGCATCTAACCTTCAGCATCCATTAATGCCCCCCGGACCTCAAGGCTATTGCTCAGGTGTTGTTACGTGAGTTTGCTCTAGGGTTAGTGTGGACAGCTTTGTAGGTAATATGTGCCTTTCGCAGTTTTCTCTGTATTGGAAGGCACATCCTTCGCTTCGTGGCTTGGGCCATCAGTTTGTGGAGCTGGAATTTCTTTTTTGTATCATATACGCCATCATTACACATGCTTGCAATTAATATCCTTTCAGCTGAAATTCCACACAGAACTCCACAAATGAGGTTTCAGAACTGTAGCTTCCGTAAAGAAGAATTGAATTACTCGCACCGTTTGGGCCGCCCCGAAGCTCTGCCTATGATCGGATAGGTGATTCTTCCGATGGATAACGATTCGATCATTCGACGGAAGGAAATTGATCGTTGTATGCATGTATTACAGCTACGTCCTCCCAAAGAGCTTAATCACAGCCGCCACTATGTCTGAAAGATCAGTTGGGCAGTATAAAACACCATTTGCCTCCCGGATTAAGCACGGTAGTCTATTTTCTCCGTTCCATTCTTCGAGGACAAAAACAAGCCCAGTCATCTAGAACATCGAAACTAGCCCTCATTTGGTTAGTCTCTCTTTCACCGCAGATATGACATTCAATCAAAGCATGTCATTCGACAACAGCATTCGACCTTCGGTCATGGAGATGATGGGATATACAAACTTGGAAGCACTCGCGCCGCCCCATGAAACGGTCACCGAGGTGGTAACATCTCTCCGGTCGCGACCAAATGTAGTGTCAGGGCCCACTACGTATGGAAGAGGGGATAGAAAAGCATGCAACAGCTTTCTGAAATTCGGAATCCAGGATGGTGATGTATGTTCTTCAGTTTAGTACAAGTTGTTCCACGCTCAATATAGTTGCAGTTCACTAGAAAGGTCGAAGAAGCGATCGGCAGGCATCCCTTCCCTCTCCACCAAGGCCCGGTCATCGTCCAATCGTCCAACCTTCCAAGCAACTGGAATATCCATGCCGCCCACCCGTGCCAAAAGGGAGTATCCATGTTTCGAAGCGTCTCGGGCAATCTGGAGCGTGG